ATGTGTGTGTGTATGTATGTATGTATGTAATGTAATGTTATGTTATGTTATGTTATGTATGTACATATTCATACCTATATGATCTTTATGCATAGACGTTATGTTTACAGTATGTAAATATATGTATGTATGAACCTGCATATATGTTTGTATGAACCTGCACATATCCAGGCAAGCTCCGAAGAAACGCCTTCCCCATCCTTTAGCCTGGTTCTGCCATGGGTTGTTCACAAACTTCATCCCTTTCCATAGTTCGTCAATGTGTGGTGCCCCCCTCTTACAAGTTGGTTTATTTTTTTGAAAATCCACCACATCCCACCACCAATATCCATAACTCCTATACTTGACCTACGTTGAAGCTGAAGTGACTATGGGGCAGCACCTCAATCTTGGTATCTCACTACAATTTCCGAAAAGTTGCCGCCCCCTCGCTTCCCAGTGTTTCCCCAGACCTGACCTGATGAAGGTAGCCTCCTACGAGAGGAGGAAGTCAGAGAAGACATCACCTGGAGAACCATTTGGTGGTGGGCCAGAACTGCAGGCACAGAATGACCCTGTGGTATTTTGCTGCGGGCATCAATGGCAGTTTTAAATGATTGGAACAGCATCTATTTATCTATTCATGAGTACGTAGAGTTATGATAAAGTTAAAGTGAAGTTTATGTTCATGCTGGGAATTTCCTCAAAGGCATAAGTGTCGAGCGCAGATCGGCTGAGGCATCCTCTGAATGGAGATCCGAATCACATGTTTCAATATCATCCATGCATTGCAGTCGCAAAGCTGTTTGACCTCTGTTCCTGAGCAGATCTATCAACTGTGAGTTCGGTAGGTTGGGTCAATCTCTTTGTCCTGATCTGCTCCGTTTTCCTCCAATCCATCGTGGAGATGCGCGAATCATTGGTGCTGGCGGTGTGGATTGATGCCAAGGCGCGATATACATCATATGGATTTGTTTGAAAGGATAGCGGTAACCCCAAATATATATACCCCAAATATCCCCAAATTTGATGTTTAATCATGTTCCCCATTGTTCTCACTTTTTCTCATTTTTTTTTTGTCTACTCCTATGTTCAGACACACTCAATATGTACTGATCGATTATAGATTCTACATAATCATACTGTGTATTGACGGAGTTAGAGCCATGGGAACCCATGGAATTTCAGATTTCAGGACGCGACCCGTTTGTGACCCAAAACCTCATCAGCTTTGTGTCCTTTCCTCTTGGGTATATAAGAATAACAACAACAATAAAAGTAAGGAGTAGTAGCAGTAATGATAATAATTATCATTATTAAAGATTAGTGATAATAATAGTTATAATATTATACATAATTATATATATAATATTCGGACCGTTTTTGCAAACACAGCTCCCATTTCACCTTGGATGATTTCGAAATGTTTCGAAACTATTTTGGATATTTCTGGGCCACATTCTGGACCGATGCCGCAGGTAGCATATCCTGATGCCAGCGACGGTGTTTTCATGTGTCTTGGTGGTATCGCTGAATCATCCCTACCCGCTGGAGCGAAACTTTCACATTAGTGGCACTGGCATGACGCATGACCCCCTGCGGAGGAAAATTCAAGTTGCAACGCCACAGCAGCTTTCAGATGGACGCTTGAATGACCATGTTTTGTTGGTTCAAATTTCAATTCCCTATTTACGTGTTCCCAATAAACATACCTATTTTTCCTTCATTGGTCGAATTCCCAGTTTCCAGTGAACCCCCATTGTTCCCACAGCTCTGGAGAAGCAGTTGGCGGTTCCATGCGGTTCCCATTAGGACTCGACTGATTGTGGTGGTGCTGTGCTGCTGCGCCGCCATTTGCATTTGCTTTCTGGCAGTGTCCACCACCACCCTGGGAGCAGCCAGGTCGGCTGGCTTGGATGGGCAGTGGGGACAGTAGCATCCCAAGAAATGAGAAGTTGTGACCTAGATGGGTTTTCAATTGGGATGGTATGGGATGGTATGGGATGGTATGGGATGGTATGGGATGGTCATGTGTCCAATTGTGTCCAAGTCTATCCCATCCCAAGTGGGATGGCAATTTCTCCCCCTGGAGCCATCACCAAGGTCCATCCACAATCAAGTGATGTCGTGCTTGCTGAAGGCTCCAGTTGACAGGCGATCTCCGGGATCACATGGGAACCCTGTGGGATGATAGGCATAACATGGTATGACCATCGTCTAACCATGGTAACAAGCTCCATGAGTCATACATGGTTATGAAGGATCTAAACATTGATCATCACAGTTTTCAGCCGGCCTTATTGAGCCTGGCTCGCTCTTCGCACATGATTCACAGGGTTAGGCGTCCTGATTGGCAGCAATCGCCACGGGCAGATTCTTTGACAAGCAACCGGTGGGCCGGCTGATCAACCGCATGTCCTTTGACATGAAGCAGGCTGACCAGGGAATGTGTTGAACCATGTTGAACCTTGTGGATTTAGTAGAGGCCTTGCAGTGTCAGGCATTTCATTGACATTTCCCCAAGTGGAATAGATATGGACATGGCTTCCTCCAACGGAAAAGCCCAAGCCACTATGGAGGTTCTGTCATGGATGGCAATGGGATGTTCATGATTAAAAGATGTGCCAAGTGTCCATTCTGAGCCCATTCTGGTTCAGGAATCCCGTAATCTCACTATCCTGCACGAGTTAATTAGGTATGTAGTACAGACATGTAATAAACATGAAAGTGCCCTTACAAGGTCATGTCCATGTGCGGATTTCTGGCAGCAGTTTCCATTTCAAGCCAATATCGGATGTCGCCGCTTCACGTGTTTATGTTCTTGTTCTCACTACTGTTGGTCATACATCTGTATCGATATGTATCGATTATTTTTCCTAATATTCAATGCGCAATTATATACTGTATGTTCCATTTGTGAAGAGGTCTTCCCTAACTCAAGTTCCAGCATTGCCCAGCATGGATAGCTCTCTATGCTCTTGTGGACAGATTCACCTCTGGCGCAGGTGGACGAAACATTTGTCATGAGCTCAGACAGAAATGAAGAGGATTCCCATGGATTCCCAGCTCGGTTCCATAGGTAAAAGCATGGTACCCTCTGGTAATTTAACATAGCTATTGAAAATGGCCATTTATAGTGGATTTTCCCATTGAAAATGATGATTTTCCATAGCTATGTTAGTTTACCAGAGGGTATGTATTCCATGGCGTTCTCTTGGAAATGATATTTTTTGGGACTTTCCCAATCATTTGCGGTGGCAGCTGAGGTGCAAACAATCTTCGGGATGTGTTCAATGTTGGCCACCATGTTGACCACGAATCTCTTTATTCTGTGGGTGATGCCCCGCATCTCAGCCGGACATACTGATCAGTGGACAAGCCATCAGCAGTTGGTAGATGGTTTATCCCGCTACTATTCTATTGAAAAAGATAAACCAATCGTTTTCTGCCACCAAAATTGCTACTTAAGAGTTACTTATGGTATCTTATGGTACTTGTAGTTGGTTACCATAGTATTCCAAGAGTTACCAACTGGTGCAGGATGGCTTGTCCATCACATTTGTTGCGTGCCGATGCCCCAGGATCGGTTGCGTTCCTCTCAGTCCCCATCTATGCGATGACGTTGCTGCGGCGCATGTTTTGTAGGTGGCACTTGGAAGTTCTGGATTTATCTGGATTTGGGGTTGGTTTCAAACACCCATGTCATATGTTGTGTGAATATATATATATATACAGTATATATATATATAGGTTATGGTGCTAAACCCCAGTTGGGATGATCTGGTTCCACCAACTCATTTTTTTTCTGGCTTGAAACCACCAAGCAATTTGGTGACATGTTTTTATTGGACATGATTTGGAGACTCAGGTTTTACTTTGTGTATTTGTACCGTGGCATTGCTGTACCCCTTGTGTTTCACTCCAAGCATTCCTTGTCTTCGGTACAAGACCTGCAAGCTGTGGCCCGCCTGCACGAAGTCATATGAAAGTCTCAGGATGCGCTTGCAGTTCTTGGGTCTATGGCTTGAGGGTTGATGCTATATAATTTGTTTATGCTATATATTATATAAAATATACTGTAATGTTATACTATATAATGTGTTTGATATGTTTGATAAACTTTATACCATTCATTTAAGGGCCTCCATTCCTAGTTTTTTTTGGGGGGGGCCAGTCATGATACCACCGAAATCACCTTGACAGGTGGTGATTTCCCAATGCATTTCTATTCGCTCCAACGGAATGATGGACAGCTTCATGGTGCGCTACAATCACTACTCGCAAAGTGTGATTCGAAGCCAGCAGCTGGGCAAAGAGGGAGGTTTCGTTTGTGACAAAAACATGGGGAAGACTAAAATCCAATGGTTTGTGCTTTGCCTGGTTTATCATCAAATTGGAATCAATCATCTCACGTTATACACACACATATATATATATATATTATAATTAAAACCGTGTTTTTCCTTTCTTTGGTGGTAATTATGGACTCAATGTTTCGGCAAAGCCAAATGAGCCGCTCATAAACCTCCCTTTACATTTTCAGTAAGGGCCTTGTCATAACGCGTTTGGCGTAAGCAAAACCCTCACTTGCGTAAGGCCGCGTAAGGACTTTGCGTAAGGGTCTCCTGAATTTGCTTCGCGTAAGGAAAAACTCTATGCGCGTAAGCATGGCGTAAGCTTTGGCGTACCCAAAATGATACGACATAGTGACATAGGGAGTGACTGAAGGTTTTCAGAATTGCTCAAATGACTAAAGGAGGAGGGAAGGGGAAGATAGATGTCATGAAAATGGGTTTGTCCAAACGTGGGGTATGGGCCCCGGATTTATGGTCCTTGCATAATGAGAAATCTGGAAAATCAGGTTTTGAACCACAGGATTTCAGGTAGACTCAAATATACACAGACTAAGCATCAAAAGGCAGGCTGGTATCATTACCTGCTGGGTGCCTCATGTTATGGCCAATCTACTGCTGGGATGTTTGAGAGGAAAGGATGTAAAAATGGAGGAAGTGTTTTCGGTCATGGTGAGGTCACAATTTCCTTCCCTTTTGTAGTGGTTCTCTGGCCTGCGTTCCCAAGGTTGGGGGAACCTCCAAATATCCACAAGAAAGTGCACCCAAAGATTGAATATCATCTTTACATCTGGGAACCACACAATTGCAGGTAGGACTGTGGACCATGTTGAGTCGATGTATACCTGGCTGATACATGCTGATACCTGGTGGCTGTTTTCTGCAGCAAAGGTACTTGATCTACTATGTTTGCAGGGCCTGGGCACAGTCTCGCGTAGCACCCTCAGCCAAAAACACGAGCTTTGCGCATCGCTGACCTGGAATAGTTGAGCCTGTATGTGCTTTGCGACGCTTCAGGTCTTTCTTTGTTTCGGCATTCTGGCCGCTTACTTCGCTCTGGGTGGTTTGTACAGCGGTGTCTCCATGGGCATTTTAGCCACTTGTGTGAGCTTTGCCTTCTTCCAGATGAGCCAGTTCGAGGGCCTGCCGCGGTCCTAAGATGTTTGTGTGTTTTAGAAATGTGCTTCAGAATGGCAGTCTTCTTTTTGGAAAGCAATGCGCTCATGTCAGTCTGCACCCTATCCCACCATACAAGCCTCCAGCCAGCCGCCTTTCTTGTTTTCTCAGATGCATGATCTTCACTCACTTGCTGAATGTCCTGAATGCCCTCCAACGCTTATCCAGATACGTGGGCTTGCCGGAGGAGGCCGAAGTTCCCCATCCACTGAGTCCTTGGTGCTTTGGTGCTTTGGTGCTTTGGTGCTTTGGTGCTTTCCAGCCATGCCATTCCATGCCATGCACAGTCACGTGCTCAAGCTATGCAGCTATGCCATGCTATGCCTCGAGGCAGCAGAAGATATGCCCAATGACTTCTCAGTGCTGAAGCGGGCCAAGATACGTCGGGGGGAACTGGTGCCTCTGCAAATGCGTGCCGAGGCCGTGTTGGTTATGGGGGTGAGATGATGGAAGATGCCGCCAGCTGGTGATAAGTGTAATCCCTTCCCAGTATTGAACATGCCTGAATTCGTCCCCAAATGTTTCCAGAATATCTTGCCATGTGTCTTGCAAGCCACGGTACGCACAGGTCAACCAAGCTCCAAATATCCCGAAAAAAACACCCCAAAAGAACTGCCCGCAGAAGCCATTGGGGCCCAAAGATCCCGATCTCTTCGGGAGTTGAACGAAGTTTTGGCTGCTGGCAGCTTGGCCATGGCCTTCTCTAAGACCCTACTGGGTCTGTTGACCGTGGGAGCTGTGGCTGTCAGTGACCTGGCGGTCTCCTCCTTAGATTTGGAGCATGAGGCAAAACCCATCGCCAAAGTGGTGTCTCTGCTGGAGTCGATGTCCAACAAGCTGGAAGAAGATCAAAAGGCGCAAGTTAAACTGGCCTACAAAAAAAGGGATGGACATCTTGGGAAATCTGGGGCGGTGAAAAGAGCGTGGCATTTTGAAAAAGACATATATTTATATGCCACTTTGATATCACATGAAATCAAGCATCAAACATACACACACACATTGGTCAAATCTTTTAGTGTAATAACAACTATTTGTATCATCTATTTACGTTAGTTCACCTATTTTCTACGACCTCATTTCATCATGCAGATCTTTCAAAGTGTCATGCCAGGCAGATGAGGAGATGAAGGAGAAGCTGGACTGCTGGTGCAAGCAGAACAGCAAGGAGAGATAGGAGAGTCATTCGTAGGGTAGTCACCTGGTTCCAGGTTTCCAAGCCCACCACAAATGGCATGACCATTGGGGTCCCAAATATCCCAAATGACACCGAGCTGGGGAATATCTATCATTACTTCAGCCTCTCTCTCTCTCTCTGGAATTATATCTCTCACCAAATATCAGTGTATACTTGTACAACATTGTAAAACACACACACAGATATATATATATATATTCACATATGCATACATATCTACCTATCTACATATCTACATATATATATATATAATATATATATATATGCTGCACATATACATCCATTCAGCTGTTCCTTTGGACTGATGGAAACGGTAGGAGAAGTTGGAGGCTGCCCAGGCGGCAAAGGAGAAGGTGGAGGGCTTGACTGCGTTGGTCAACCAGCTGGGACCGAAGATCGAGCAGTTGGGAACGGAACTCCGAACGGCCACCAAGGAGCGAGTGCTGGGGTAACCACAACCGACATGTCCCCAAGTTACCTGGTGATTCAACAGTTTGCTACGGAAAGTGGCCCATTTATAGATTTTATAGATGATTTATTTATGATGATTTATTTGTGATGATTTACCTATTATACAAGACTGGTCCCCACTTATTTCCATGTACAGGGATAATACGAAACGATTTCCTGCAAGAACGGATCATTCATTTCCCATTCTCGGGTCTGGGTATTGCAGAGTATCACGTGACGTGTGTCATGCTGGGAAACGGACGAAGTGTGATGAAGGGACGAAGGTACTCTCAGAAACTGACGTGGGAGTGGGATCCCAATTGGACAGAAACATGATTTAGAAGTCGTGGAGCTTCCATAATCTTATATAATCTTCCACAGTTGCCCAAGAAGGATGGTCATTATCATCTGCAGTCATTTTGAGACGCTCACGATTTTTGAGGCATCAGAAACACTTCACCATATTTCACCACTTCGCTCCACTTTGGATTTCCAAAACCTGTCAGCTCCCCCAGGTCTCGCCAGTCTCGGCCGTAGGAGTTGAACCAAAACAAGGCCACCCTGAAAACTGCAGAGACCATCCGCGAAGAGCAAGTGAAGGCCTTTAAGGAGGACGAGGTGAGGGGCTTGGTGGTCGCGCTTGACAACGAGATATGGCAAGATGGAAAAGCAATGTCAAAAACCACCCATATATATATATATATACTGTATAATCTATTGATTCGTTGGAATCTGGAATCCACCCATAAAAATGATAGAATTCGGGATGGTTTACTATTGCTCTATTAGTATCACTAGCTAATGTTTGTTCATGGTGCTAAAATCGCTTTCCATCAAGTTGGAAGAAGGCAGAAACGCTTCAGCGTCTTGCATGTCGCTGCATCGAGCTGTAACAAGCGCGGCAACATCACCAACAAGACTCATGCCAACTGCAAGCGAGACAGAAGCGGCAAGTGTCTGCAGCAGCAAGTGGCATGAACATGCATGAGCCGGATCATACCACATCACTGCCAAGCTGATGACAACAAGAGCCAAGAGAAAAAATCACAGCATCACAACAAGAACTCAATTGAAGAACCCCAATTGAACAAGATCCGTAAAAACCAGCCATTTGGTGCCATATGGTGCCATCTGGTGCCATCCCCTGAGGCCTCTCTGATGACTGCGATTGACAGTGTGGCCAAAGCTAAAGAGGCATTGAATGCCAGTGCTTCAGGTGAGATGCAGTCGGTGTATTCCGCATCCCTGGTGCAGCAGCCACGGATGCATCAGTTGGCTGAGAATCTGCAGAAGGTATTGGAAGGTCGCGGGGCACTGGCATACAGCAAGATGTCCAACGGTGACAAGATGATCCTGACTGATTTTATCAAGAAGCCTGCAGCTTGGTGCTGTTTACAATGTTTACAGCTAACTTTTTAATACTTTTTTTCCCGAAAACTCCAGCAAACAAACATAAACACACAGCCAAACAAACTGCAAAGCACCAAGAACTGATCAACGTCTCCAGGTGCAGTTCGTGAAGTTGAAGGGTGGTGCCTTCCTTCAGAAATCCATGGGGAAATCCCGGGAACCCTCGAGCTCGTCCATCGTGGGAATCTTGCAGGCCATGGCCGATGACTTCGCTGAGGACCTGCAGAAAGAGTTGGAGGAAGAGAAAACAAACCAGAACTTGGGATGGATATTGATTAGATCACTATGATCACTTCAAGCCATTTAAGGATCATGGGAATATATGGGAATCATGGGTGCAAACCTGTCTAAAATATGGAAACTCTGGAGCATGTCAAAGTATGGCAATTATAGCCAATGGAATGCCAATGGAATGCCAATGGAATGCCATGCATGTCCCTCGCCAACTCCCTGACCGGAGGGTATGGTACAGGATGTGGTTCTATATGGTTCTATCATGTTTAATCATGTTTTCTAGGTTTCATACTGGGGATTGCATCGGTGAAAGAATCCGAGTCGAATACACAATTCTTGGACTAGACTTGCTTTCAATTTGCATTTGAGCCCTCGTATTAATCTCATATTCCTCTCTCCGCTTTTTGGCCACTTGAGCGGCCCTACTGTCTAAGGTCCCCATGATATCCTATGACAAACTGGGGGCTGGTTGTCCTCAGGGCTTGGATGAGCAACAAAAATAGACCAGGATAGTCATGATAATCTCAAAGCTCATTTAAATCTGGAGGAATCCCAGTTGTAACCGCTTGGTATTTTGGATGGTCAGCACCAGAGGGCCTGATGGTCTGTCAACGACTCGTTGGCCTAAGGAAATCCTACAAGGAACTGACCGCTGCCAAGAGCCAAGAAGTCAAGGCACTTGACGAACAGATCACAGCGAAGACCCAGGAAAAGGCCGAGTCTGAAAGCACCTCAGCAGAATGGGTAAGGGGATTCTTTATGATTCTTTCAGTTGCACAAGAACTTTGAACAGATATGATACCCCGTTACCCTCTGGTAAACTAACATAACTATGGAAAATCACCATTTTTAATAGGTAAACCATCTATAAATGGACCATTTTCCATGGCTATGTTAAATGACCAGAGGGTAATCCCCCCCAGCTGGACGACTTGGAACAGCTTAGGCACCTTGCAGGTCTCCAAGGAGGACATCAAAGCCACCAGCAAATCTCGCGAGGCCGGGATGGAACTTGAGAGCTTCCAACGCAGAAAGCCCAATGAGATCCAATGATCCAATGATTTTTTTTGGTTGTTTAGGATGTTTCAAAAATCCAAGCAGACTCTAATATGTTTATATGTTTGGACTGTGGTGATTTTCCAGCAGCCTATTCAACATACTCTGAATCAGTGCCAGAATCCACAGGTATTGATTAAAGATTCTCATACTCTCCAAATATGACAGATTTTCTCAGGCAGATTTGAAGTTTGGGGCCGCTGTGGAGAAGCATTGCACCGGCAGCGATGAGAAGTACCAAGAGCGCAGCTCCACTCGTGCAGCGGAGATGCAGGCGGTGTCGAAGGCGCTGGAAGTCTTCCAAGGCCGAAAGTTGGGAGGACGAGAGTCAAATCACTTCTCTGGCCGTAGCAAAAAATATCTCACACACACATATTATCATAGATTAATTATAATATAATTTAATATAATGTTTAATATAATATAGTTTAATAGAATATATTATAACTTAATTTGAACATAGATTCTGAATGAACACACACACAAACACACACACACAGATACACACGCATATAATATACATAATATCTCTCTTCCTCTCTTCCTCTCTTCCCCTCTCTCTCTCTCTCTATGCAAAACCGTGTGGGCTGCGTTGCCAGGTGATGAGACTCGTTCCCTGCTCCGCAAGAGCGTCTCCCTGTTGCAGCTTGACACGACCACGATCAGCGTGAAGAAGATGAGCAGCTTCCTGCTCCAGCAGGGAAGGAAGTTGGGAGCAGAACAATTGGTCACCCTGGGATTGGAAGGAAAGCTGGACTCCTTCACAGTGGTCAAGGATTGGAATGACCTGATGTAACAGGGTGTGCCGCCTGGGACGCGCTTGTGGGTCAAAAAAATATGTGAGTTGACGTCCTAAAGTGCACCAAAGATCAATGAGCCGGGACCCCCGAACTTGAGACCGTTTGAGACCCATTATTTGTTGCACTCGTATGAAACCGGACTGTTACATGTTTGTACATGTTGTTCAACTTCGTACTAAGTGGAAAGATCATGAAAGATCTTTGGTCAGAAGCGGAAACCAGCAGGAGAAGATTCAAGAGATGACTTCAGTCTTGACCAAGCAAAAGGCAGACGAAGCCGCGCACAAAGAAATGTGCGTGGATGACTTGAATGAGAATGCACTCACCACCGAAGACAAGGACGGCATGAAGAATCGCACCGAGAACAAAATCGTTTTGTTGAAAGCCAAGATTGGTGGATGCGAGCAGGACTGGGTGACTGAGTGCTCTGCCAAGGGTACCACAGGCCAACAACACCGAGACATTACTTTGGGATATTTTAGTTATTGTTTTTTCTCCATTTCCAAGCTTGACTGCTCACTTAGATTCAAACAATAAGCATCTCAGACAATGCTCCGGCAATTTCTTGTGAGAGTTAACAACACCCCATCTACCGGTTCGCGCCATGACCATAGATCCAGTCTTGTCAGAGGATGTCAGTTCCTTGCGCGCTGAGATTGCGGAGTTGGGGAAGCAGATCCAAATTGCGGGGCAAACCAGACAAAAGGACCTGGCTCGTGGGCCGTTCATCATCGTTCATCAATCCTGGATGCGTTTGGTTTTTTGTGGAGGGTTTACGCATCCCAAAGCCCCAAAGCCATCAACCATTCCCAAGTGGGGTTTATGAAATTGGGAGTTACTGGAACACTTTATGATTTATGTTACCAGTTACCACATTACTATACATTACTCACATTGCCGTATATTTTCTCATGGGTCGTTGATGGTCGTTGGGTATGTTGAAAAAACATGTTACTATGACTTTACGCAGGATAAACATGATAAACTATATAGAACCCCCCCAAAAAGATAGAAAGGGGGTTCCAGGATGCTATAGATGAGGTTTTCCCATCTCCAGGTTTCCAACTTGGGCATCTTTTTGGAGATTTTCCGTAGACCAATCTATGGATGTGTTTTGGGAAGGGCTTCGGCCACAGGAGAACGCAAAGTTCCAGACGGAAGCCACTGAACAGTCGCAGACGCAAATGATTCTGAAGAAAGCCGTGCAATTCCTGCGCAAGTTCTACAGCAGTTCCTGGTTGAAGATGCTGATAGATGTTTTTCACGTCGGGTCTGCGAAGTCTTTCCCATTCCCATCCTATTGATGTGGCCCTACTACAGTAAAATACACAAATATATGAACAGATACTATGAAGCTCAATATATTTCTTGTATATATAATATAATTATATACCATCATCCCAATCCCACTAGCATTACATTGCACTTTATAACACAATGGACTTACAATTCTCCGAGAACCCTCAGCTACATCCCCAGGGAGAAACCCCAAAATGGCCGCCGATTTGAGGCGCCTCTCTGGTCCAGATCCGGCGCCACGGCGATGAGCCCGCGGCCCTGGGAAATCCCCAAGGCTTTCAGGCGGGGTGTTCGATGTTCTAGGTGTAGATGTATACATATATATATACTGGATATAATTTGATATGATGATTTGTATATATATATATATACACACATAAAGTATATTGTATAAAGCCACCAGTGCATATATTAAAGAATATATGTAAATGTAATTATTGGTGTGTATTTGGCTTGCAGGTTATTTCTTGGTGAGAGGCACACTTGTTGAAGGCTTGTTGCAATCCAGGGGCTGTGTAGTCACCATAAGTCTGCCAGGACTACCAGAAAAATGCGGGAGGACAGGGTGTCATCGCCTTGATCGAAACCATCGCAGAGGACGCACACAAGTTGGAGATGGAGGCCATTCAGGAGCCCAGGGCTGGCAGTAAAATAGACAGCTGCCATGGGCCTTCAGTAAAATAGCATCACATTCGATGAGACTGGGATCCTCACTTGAATCAATCTGAATATGTAATATATGATATATAATATATAATATATGATATATATAATATATAGTATATATATACACATACACACACAGATATATATATATATATCTCTGTGTGTGTGAGTTATCCTTTGGTAAATCAACTGCTGAGAGCTTGCTGAGTCCATTTTCGCCTTGCTCTCCATGGAGGATGAGCAAGACTCCCAGGCCAGCTATGAAGATTTCACCGCCCAGACCTCTGCTACCATCAAGGCCAAACAGTCTGAGGTGGATGGCAAGATGAAGGAGATTCTGCTAGTGGGAGATTTGAGGGGCGATTCACACTTTCCCGAAACTTCGCATGAAACTCCAAAACATATAGGTTGGATGATGACTTTGTACACTGGACATTTACTTTTCTTGTTCCATGTTGAAGTTCGGTGTAGATCAACTTCCAAGTGGGTCACTGTCGCCAATTCACCCAGTACCCATGGGCTCACGAGCTTAAACTCATCGAAACATGAATCCAGGGAAAGCAAGCCCAGCCCAGTGGGTATGAAAGGTATGAGTCAAGATTGGTGCCACGTTCGTACCACATTTGCACACATTTGCCAAACTCTAATTTCTCCCGAATCTGGGATGAACAGCTATTTCTTTTGGGTGAACATCACTAACTCCCAGCTATTTTTTTGCGAAAAACCAGGGGGGGGCCATGGTTTTCGACAGGTGACATGGACCCGCAGTGCCAGGAGATGGCAGAAGCCAAGAACGACAAGGCTGAAGCGGAATCCAGCCGTGAATCGACCCTCTCAGAGCTCGATGAACTCTTTGAGGTGGGAATGATGGGATATGATGGGAGGATGGGATGATGAAGGCCGACCAAAAAATCGGGATACGAGCCCCACTTTTGAGGGGATCAAGATTGAAACCGAGGGGATTTAATCAGATGTCATAAGATCTGCGGACAAAAAATGATTAAAAATGGGAATTGACGATTATTTACCCAATAAAACAGTGGGGATTTACTCAACAAAAATGAGCATGACTTTGATTTACCCATCAAAAATTATCAGACTGGAATTTATCCAAGCAAAAGGGGAACTTTCCCTCGGCAAAGATGACGAAAACGGAGATTTTTATATATGAGTGGCCATGTAATGTCCCAATAAGGGAATTGCGACTTTAAGCAACAACAAATGAGGATGACCAATCTAAAAATATTAACCAGAAAAATATTTGGGAAAATTAGAACACATATCAAAAGGTGGGACACCTATCAGGGTATAGAGGCCAGAAAACCCAAACATTTGGCAACTTCGATCAGTCAATCAAGGGAAAACTTCCAGGATCCCCTCGACATTTACTGGTTTTACTAGTACAACCTATGTGAAAACCATTAAAAACCCATGGTTTCCTGCAGATTTCCCTTGTAAAATCCAAGGCAAAGATGGCATTGCACAAGGAGTGCGACTTCTTCGTGACGAATTTCCAGGTGCGACAGAAAGCGCTGGGAGATGAGATCGAAGCCTTGGGACAAGCGGCAGCCATCCTCGCCGGAGCCAAGTAGACTGCCGTTTCGCAGTGCGCTGCGGAAAAAAAAATGCGCCAATCATGGGATGTCCAGTAATTTTTCATGTACCCTCTGGTGAACTAACATAGCAATTGAAAATCACCACTTTTCATGGGAAAATCCACTATAAATGGCCATTTTCCATTGCTATGTTAGTTCACCAGAGGGTAATATGATGTAGTGGTGATTGAATCAAATACCCGTACAGCGTTTGCTGTGGAAGATGGCCCAGTCAGTTTGATGATTTACCTATGAACAAAAGTGATCTTCCATGGCTGTGTCAAATTACCAGAGAGTAGCGGATGAGCAAGTGCTGCTACCTGCGCTGTGGAGGAACCTGCAAAGCCAGGAAAGAAGACCTCATATTTTTAAGAAGGTGAACCTCCCATGGTAAATTAGGTGTGGAGATGTGTAGGTATCATTGGGTTGATCTATATATAATATATAATTATTATAAAATTATATATAAATATATATATAATTATATAAATACATATAATTATATATGTATTTATCATATAATTATATAAATACATATAATTATATAAATACATATAATTATAAATATATATTTAATAATATAATTATATATATATAATTAATCATATAAATATATATAAATATAAATATGTATATATATATAGTTAATCATATAATTATATTTGTTAATCATATAATTATAAATATATATATAATTAATCATATAATATTATAAATATATTGATATAATTAACCATATATATATAATATACATATATAACTATATATATATAGTTATATATATAATATAGCTCATTTTGATGTGCTGCGCTTCTGTTGTCAGGCAAAGTCTGGGGGAGAGATGCTTGGTGGCACAAATGGCCAAGATTTATCAAGATTTCTTTATATCTATATGCGAAGGTTTTCTAATCGCTGACATGGTTGGCGCCAGCCAGTTGGCCAGAGCCAATGTAAAGACTCACTTTGCCCGTGGTGATTAATGCAAAAACCAAGCACGCTTGTATATATTGTGTGTATGTGAATGTGCAGGTGCTTTCTCTCCCTTTCTCTCTCTCTCTCTACTGTACTGTATGTATTTGTTTTAGATGCGCAGATCATCCAGTAACATCTTGAAATGAATCTTGGCATGGCCATGCAGAGGATTACAATGGATGCCCCAAAGGTACCGCCAACCTCCACAAGCCTGGGAAAACGAGCACCGTAGACTTTTTTGAAGACACCAACGCTGTGGAAAGATGAAACGGAATTGTTATATTTTTTAACATGTTGTTTGAACAGTTGAACATAGGGTGCCCCTTTGGTGCCCCCAAATCCAATGATTTGTTATGTCGTTATGTTTTGTTATGTTTTCTTCACATTTTTCCCCATGAAATTGCCATATGGGCAGATGTCCAAAAGGTCATGGCCAGTTGGATGGCGTCTGAGGACCAAGGACCCATCCCCTCTCCAGGTGTGCATCAGAGGCGCTGGGACATGCTGGGACTCATTTCCGGTTTGTCTAAGAGGTCGGACACTGAATTCCTTGGTTCGGTTAAAGTTTGTTAAACCTAAATCATCTATAGTTACTATAGTTCCGTTTTTGTAAGTGGGCATTATGGAAAGGTCTATGTTTGGAAAAAAGACTTTGCACACATGTTGCATCGGTTGGATGGACATTTGCAGCGAAGAAACGTAGAAGCTGCAGCCAGTGGCTGGATGCAGGTGGGAAACCTATCCTCCGCCTCAGCGCGGATGGAAAGCACTTGGAGTTTTTGGAGGGCTGCACCCCAGAGGAGATGAACGGGACACCATTGAGGGGCCACATCGGGCTATCGGAATAAACGATGATAAACGTTTGTATCGTTCGTTTGATAGCTTGATATGAGCTCAAGTTGAAGAGTTGCAAGAGAACACTAGAAAAAATATGGATCTAGCATTTTTCAATGCATTTTCTAGCTACAATATAGGCTATTGGCTAAAAGCTATAGGCTATAGATGGGTAAATTTGAATCACTGGCCAAATCTTGGATACGGCCAGCCATGGGGATACCCAGTTGCAAGTCACCTGCGTTCCTCCAGGATTTGGCACCTGCTTGCAAGGTGCATTTGCTGGCTTTGGTACACGGGATTTGTTCTCACCACCCTGCTTAGATGTGGTGTAGATTGATTGTTGAATCAAGGGATTCTGCCCCTGAGAATCCACAATCTCCTTGTTTCACGGCAATCCTACCCGGTCCTACCCCGGTGGCAGCGGCTAGCACTGGAGGCATTGCAAGGCTTCACTGGGACCTTCCACATCGTGGCCGTGAATAGCTTGTCCTGACCATAGCATGGAAATCGGGAAGGACCCACTTGGGGTTGAAGTGGTTACCACCATGATCCATCTTAGTGACTTAATATAGAAGGTTTAGTGTGAAGGGTTTGACTCTTTGACCCACCCGGGCAGTTTCAAATACCTTTTGGAAAATCCTCCAAATAATGCTGGTCAATGATGTTCATGGGGATTGCCCCTATGGACCTATGGAGCATAATATGCTACAAGTATGTATCATATGTTATCCTCTGGTAATTTAACATAGCAATGGAAAATCACCATTTATAGTGGATTTTCCCATTAAAACTGGTGGTTTTCCATAGCTATGTTAGTTTACCAGAGGGTAAGCCCTATAATCAGCTCTGTTTGTCCAGCTGCGGCCACCAGTTCGGCCCTTAGGTCTGCCTCAGCGGAGCAGATGGCAAGGGAACTGTGCACACCACCAGCTGTGCCATGGCAGGAAAATTCATGGACTGCCCAGTCCAGTTCCCATTTAATGGATTTTTAATGGATTTTTAATGGATTTTTCAACACCCCAAGAATCCTGATAGTTAGTGGTTGTGATTCCCATTTGAGTGGCTTAGTGCAAAAGGTGATGTCATTCTTTGGATCAAACATGATCAAAATGGATTCAAATGGGACATTTCACCACCGGATCTGAATTTTCCATGCACAGCATTGCACAGCTCAAAGGTGGTCTGGCTGGACTTTTGGAGCAGTGACTTCAACGAAGGCCTTCGTGTGCAGATTGAAGACCTCACCGCAGGACTGGTCCAGAGATTTTTTCTCCAGTGGTATTTCTGATGATAAAAAATTATCGGGTTTCATATTGGGCACATGCGGGCACTCTAGATAGATAGATAGATAGATAGCTAGATAGATAGATAGCTAGATAGATAGATAGATTAGATTAGTTAGTTAGTTAGTTAGATAGATAGATAGATAGATTAGATTAATTAGTTAGTTAGTTAGATAGATAGATAGATAGATACATAGATAGATAGATAGATAGATAGATAGAAATATAGATAGATAGATCGATCGATAGATCGATAGAGAGGTAGATAGATAGATAGATAGATAGATCGATAGATCGATAGATCGATAGATCGATAGATCGATAGATAGATAGATTAGATAGATTAGATAGATAGATAGATAGATAGATAGATAGATAGATAGATAGATAGATAGATAAGATAGATAAGATAGATAAGATAGATAAGATAGATAGATAGATAGATAGATAGATAGATAGATAGGTAGATAGATAGATAGATACATAGATAGATAGATAGATAGTTAGATAGATAGACAGATAGATAGATAGATAGACAGACAGATAGATAGATTAAATTAGATTGGATTAGATAAGATAGAAATATAGATAGATCGACCGATAGATCGATAGAGAGATAGATAGATAGATAGATAGATAGATAGATAGATAGATAGATAGATAGATAGATAGATTAGATAGATAGATAGATAGATAGATAGATAGATAGATAAATAGATAGATAGATAGATAAATAGATAGATAGACAGATAGGTAGGTAGGTAGGTAGACAGATAGATAGATAGGTAGGTAGGTAGATAGATAGATAGATTTTGGTCCTTTAAACTGTGCGCACTACATTCCAGAATTATCAGATTATAATCTACGGAGATTGAAACTCAGAGATCCCTATGATATACAACAATATACATTATCATCATGTGAAGTTGACAAAGTTGACAGTGTGATGCTCGAAGCTTTTGAAGTGAGGATATGGCAATGCGAAAAGTGTGCTGCATGGGATTAGCCTCAATGTTGAGCCCCGCCACTCGGCAAATCGTGAAACTGCGATGTGCTCGGGATTTGAAGGTCTAAAGTCTAAGAAAAAATCTAGTGGCATATGCTCGCATGCTGATCTTGACATCACCCCCAAAGGCTAAAGGACTCTGAAAGATAGATTGGCAAAACTCTTCTTCATTCCGCGGGGAAAGAGCAGGCTCTACCATCCATCTCTTACCACGTTCACTAAACGTTGGCCGCGGTTCATCCCAAGACACGTTCGCATCTCTCATAAAAGCCGCGATCATCATGGGGGAGCACTTGGTGAGTTTCGAAGCAACCAGCAACAACGTGAAGATCGCGAAGGTGAAAGGGAAGACCAAGGACATTGGTAGCATCTTGAAGGAGAGCAGGACCCTGAAAAAGGCCTTTGATCTTGATGTGGACCCAATGCAGTTTGAACTTTTTGGGCGCGAACCAAAGATCCCAAAGAAGGCCATGCCGATCATCATCCAACACTCCGGCACCTTGGCTCAGCGCTCCTCAGAGCAATCGCTGTATGCTGAGTGGGGCCTGGTGTCAACAGTGGTGCTGGCCTACAACACGCATCATCAGCTGGTCTTGAGACCCGATGATTTCTGGCAGGCCATCCTCACTCAGTTGTCCTTTTACATCCAGGCTCGCGCCGAAGCTTTGAGGGATCGCATTGTGGACTTCCAGGGGCAGAAGACCTTGGTGATTCAGATGGGTGGCACGCTCTTCAGTGCGGATTTTGGACACTTTGCCCAAAAAATGGCAGAGAAGATCGCTGCAAACATCAAAGATCCAGCGGTTGCCAACTGGATCATCCCAAGTTTCACCACCACGACGACCAATGATCGCATCGCAGCCTCGGTAACCTTGATGTCGACGCTGCAAGCGTACTTTGAAGCTGGTTGCTGATTTCATTTTTTGTCTGTGCGACAAGTAATTGATTTGACTATACAGATAAATATATAGATAATATATAGGATAAATGAGACATGATTTTGGATATATATATATATAACTAGATCAAGTTACAAGTTTGCATCATAAGTGGTGATACAAACACGGATGTTCATAATCTCAAGATAATGTATATGCGTCATTTTCTCGGTGTTCCATCATTTGCCATCTCTCGAACTGGGATGACCCAGTTTTTGCACCAGGACTATGTGTGCGTCCTTCGCTGCGGAATTCCAAAGGTCACTTTGCTGGGTACTTTGGAAGATTGGCAGCAGCTCCGGTCCAAGATCGATGGACTGTTGGCCTTTGACCTTGAAGATCAGTTGATGACTAAGTGGCATGGCATGTTGGCTCCGGTGCTGGACAGTTTAGTGAGCTCAGCTTCTGGCCATGATGAGTTGAACTTCTGGGATCGTGTGTGTCACCACAAGGGGGGCGGCTCTGGTCCCAGCTACCTCTCTGGTTGGATCACCGTCTTCGTGCCCTTCTCCGCCAAGGGCCAGTGGCAAGGTGACTTTCGCTTTCGGTCGCGCGGAACTGATGAGCTTCAGCCGTGGCCTGATGTGGAGATGGGGAAGCTGCCGGTGGGTGCAGTGTCGGTGCCGGTGCTGGTGGATGACAACGGAACCCAGTACGAGACCCAGATGATTGCGGGTCAAGTTGCGCATGATGTCTGTGGGGATGGCTCCATCTTAAGGCCTCGAAGTGACTGGTGCATCGCCTATGAAGGTCATCCCAAAGTTGAACCAAGAGGCTATCTGGATGGTGAGATACGACCAACTGCAGAAGCAGTTGATGAGAAATGATGAGAGGATGCCGTGACCCTTCACTCAGAGTGGGTTGTTTAGCCTGTTCGAAGAACACTTTTGGCAGAAGGATGTTGTACAGATTGCATCTGCTGCGTATGTCTCATGCGAAAAGCGGGTCGTGCCGCCGCCTGCTGAAATCGCCGCGTGCAGAGCGGGATCGGAGCAGCGCTTGAGGAAGAGAAAAGAGTCAAAGAATAGCGGATTTCGGGCCGCTCCGGCCATCACCATTGCCCTGATTTGATAGCTAAAGTCCTCACTGTTTAAGTTTCCGAACAAGTCACACAGGTAATCATCGCGCCGGCAGCACTGGCAGCGCTAAGGAACGAAATGCGCATTTGTTGGGAAGACGGGTTGCGGCAAGTCCACGACTTTGTGCTTTGGCGTTTTGAGCATTTGGCGTGTGCAGATGGGTTGCTAGGGGCTCATTTTTGGCACCCCCTGAGATGCTCAAACTGCTCAATGTCGCAGTGGTAAAGCCATGCTTAATCGTGAAAATATAACATTGATAACATACATTACATGAATATACATGAATATACATGAATATATATATATATATATATATTATCACGATCTTAAAATATATTAAATGTATTAATTAAAAATTAATTAAAACATATTAAAGTTATTAAAACACATTAACAGATCATAAACGGATCCTCACCGGCGCCACATCTTTGGCTGGGAAAACTTGGCGCTTCACCGAGGCTGTGCCTCCTACGATTCTTGGAACCTCGGCAGGGGAGGCTCCTGATTGGAGGTGCCGATCTGCCGGCGCTGGAGATCCGATTCGTTGCCGAAAATGGCGTGGAAAAATGTGGAAAAAATGAAAACATCGAATATGACATCATGACATCTACATGTTGATCATGTTGCTATAGCCTTCCAGTTAAACAGTTACCTCTCAGGTGGGGATACATCCGCATCACTGCCTTGATTGCAAGATGCTACTGATCAGCATGTTTCAAAGCGTCCTTCATGTTAACCCAGGATCAATAAAGCCCCTCAGTTTATGAATAGGGGTGATACCGATTTTAATTATTCGAAATTTATTGCAGTTATAGGGCTAACCCATGGTAACGCCTACCGCGTGACGGACTCGTCCAGGTCGTGACACCACGAAACTTGGACTCCGTGCTCTGCGAAACATCGTGGGTCTGGTGCCACAGGACGTGGATCATGCGTGGCCATTGTCTCGATGTAGCTCGGTAAATCATCGAACCAAATAGGCCATTGGTATGCATTTGTGGATCCATTTCTATCCATTTAAGTATCCATTTGTTCAGTTGCCAGAGTAGCTTTTGCTTCGAAAAAATGCTGTGCTTCGCCGAAAGCGTAGCTTCTGCTTAGAAATTAAGGAGACTGGAACACTTGGGTTCCTGGCAATGTGACTCCCTGAATTAGCTCAAATCAGATCATTTTTTGGGACCTTCGATTCGACATAAGGGTTTCTCTCACCACAACCACGGGTTTCCGGTATCATACTGTATCATGTTCCTTGATAGAACGACCCAAATCATCTCCAGTGAAAAACCCTCATACTTCTAGTCACATGAGGTTCAGACACCGCCCAATCATAGGCCCAATCATGCTCCAAATTAATACATCAATTAGCTATTCAGTAATATTCATGTAATTCATTGAGGTTCACAAAATTTCCCCCAAAATACTTCAGCCAGTAATTGATTGGGTTCATTTTTTCCCCAAAAAAACCCTAAACCAGATCTTTCGCCAGGATCCCACAGTCTTTGAGGGCACCATCCGTTTCAACATCGACCCCTTCGACGAGTTCCCGGACGCGCGGCTCTGGGAGGCGGTGCAATCGGTGCAGCTGATGCCCTACATCCGCACGCTGCCAGATGCTGGGTGAGCTCAGGTGGGAAGTGAAAAAAACCGTGTGATACGAATAGATATAGATATAATATAGATATAATATAGATATAGATATAATATAGATATAGATATATAGATATAGATATAATATAGATGGTTGCTATAGATGTTAGGTTGAAGAATCCCATTATAATATATATATATATATTAGAATAAGACATGTGAACATTACTACTATATGATAGGCATGTGAGAAAATATCTTACAATCAGATGGTAGGAATTACGTTTCTTTTTTTTGGGGGGGTCTACAAACTAGAAGGGGTGATTGACATTATGATTGACCGTATTGAGGGTTATTGAGGTTGTTTACTCAAGTTTACCTTATTGAATTGGCAACGGCTGTAGTTTCCATTTGCATGACTGGGATTCCATTACTGTATAAAGGTGCTATTTGCAACATGTTTCTGTTGTGGAAGTCGAAGAGGTCATTAGCTTTGTATTTTAAGATTATTAACCCCCATCAATCCGTCCTTTTGAGCTATTAAACCAGTAGCCAAACAAATAACGGATTATGAAGGGGCTATGAACTCCCCTCAGCCTGTATGAAAGGGGCAGATCAAACCGCTACTTTGGAAAGGGTACCTTTGGTGGGCACCCTTCAAGTTCCATGGTTTCTGTTGGGGGGCCAACACCAGTTTCCAAGCAAAAGTGGAAACTTGTCCAGCCCAGGTATCAGGAACCCCATGGTTGGAAGAACTGGTTGTAATGGGCGTGAGGATAAACAATCCAGAGAACCATGGATAGTGACTGAAACGTGCGATGTCAGCAATGAAGAGCGCAATTTTTGGACCCTTTCAGATGGTTGGAACATGTTGGAACATAAGGTAACCCCCTGAATGGTTGGATGCTGTCCCCATAAGCCCATGACCCCATGGGCCCATGGGCTGAGGATGGGATTGACACCTACATAGAGAGAGATGGCTCCAACGTCAGCTTCGGGCAGAAGCAACTGCTAAGCCTTGCCCGTGCCATGCTGCAAAGAGCTTGATGTCATGATGGCACGTCCCTTTTTCATTGGTCCAACGCAAGATGAGGCCCCCCAGATAGCTAAGTTGGTGTAGAAGTAGGGATGAATTGTTGTTTATCGATGTTCATCGCAGATGATTCTACAGTTTCATTGGGCTTATAAACCAACTTATAACCGCGGGGGCATCACCACCTTGTGGGTTCGCCTGGATGCCTGGATGATGGGGTACCCATTCCATTGAACAACCATTGGTAGACAATACGAAACATACCCTTCAATTTTCGCACAAGGACACCATCCGTGGGCGTTTTCCAAAACTTAGGGGATCCTCAAATCCAGTCAGATGGTCCATTTCAGAAGTAGACGCACTCGTTTTGGGTATTTGTAAACCAAGCGCTGCTCATCGTTGGAAGCGAACAGTTGCATGGTTTGCGTGGTGCTGTCACGGTATGTCAAAGGATTTTGACATTGACAGTGATTGGTTACGGGCATCATTCTGCGATAAGAATATATAAAAATCAATTCTCGCCTTGTTACAGTTGAGACCAGCTGCCTGATTGGGTTCCATGATGTTCCATGCTGGGTTGGTACTTGCAAGGATTGTGCATTCATTTATGAACCGGTAGTTCATGAAATCAATAGCAGCAGAGTCAGGTTTAATCATCAGTGTTCGTCATTTTTGTTGTCTCATTCCCTATGTGCTAAGGTGTTGCAAGTTTCGATCTAGTTTCCCAACCTTCGTTGGTTGGCTTTCCCTCATCTTGGTTGGCTCATGTCACGAATTTCATCAAATTTCCCAGTTCCTCTCATTTTTGGTTTGTTCGAAAATAGGACAATTGCTCTAAATCCCTATTGAGATATATTGAGACGCCAATTTTTTTGGGTGTACTATACCCCCATGGACAGAGCCACCAGGGGCCCCTTGCCTCAGTTGTATCGTGGCGCTTAGGCATGGTGGTGCGCCAGCCTCCTGTGCTGCTCTTGGACGAGTGCACCTCAGCATTGGATCCCACCACCCAGGAAGCAGCGCAGAAGACCATCCTGAAGGATTTTCCCAGGCTGGGCGGCCAGGCGGCTGAAAATGGGGGCTTCGCGGCCGTTTTCTTGGATGATTTGGATGTTTTTCGTGCAAGCACACGTAAGAGGCAGGGCGTTTGTGCAGTTTTTTTCCTCCATTGCTCTTTTTTCTTCCTTCTCTTTCCATGTTTCTTTTGGTCAATTTTGGGGTGGGGTTGGTGGGAGGGTGGGTTGGGGCGATAACGTCCTTGCACTTGCACACCTACTGGATGCTACGTCATAAGAAGTTCTCTTGTAATTCCACCACAACTTCATGCTACGTTAAATGCTGTACTTGATGCTGCGTCAAAAAGAGCTTCTCTTGCACTCGCACGACAACTTCATGAAACGTTATATGCTTGTCTTCTTGCTACGCCATAAGCTTGGGTTGGGGTGGGTTGGGGCAATACCATCGTTGCACTTGCACACACTCACTTGATGCTACGTCATAAGAACTTCTCTTGCACTTTCGGTTGCGTTGAGCACTTTACTTTATGCTACGTCATAAGAACTTCTCTTGCACTTTCGGTTGCGTTGAGCACTTTACTTTATGCTACGTCATAAGAACTTCTCTCGCACTTTCACCCAGCTTCATGCTACCTTCATCTGGGCAGCTTTGTGAAAAAATGGCCCAAATGGCCGCCGCAACGTTTGATGCCAGAAAGGAACAAAAAAGGATCCGAAGTGCTGCAAGGGTTGGTTTTTCTTCCTTTGGAGACCCTCAGAGGGATATTGGACGTGTTGCTGATGTCAAGTTTCAAAGAAATAACTAACACCCATCATTTTTTTGACGATTCAAGGAATGCAGGTGCATGAAAAACCCTCAAAAACGCCCGACTTCTTGCGGGCGCTGGCACCTTTTTCTTTTTGGAAGGATTCGGATGATCATTTGCATGATTTGGATGATCAGACTCGTATGCAAACTGAACTTGGATGAGTTGTTTTTTCAAAACCACGATTTTGATCCAGTTTTGGAATGTTTTGGAGACCTTAGATGATTGTGGGATGTTTTTGGAGCAAGAGTCGGATTGCGAGATACCTGCTAGAGTTTTTGCTTGTTGGCATCGAAGCTTGAAATGACATTGAACCGCATTTGGAATCTTGGTGACTGGAAGGACAACGACCATAGCAGTAGCACACCGCTTGGCGACCTGTCTCGAAAATGCTCGAAAATGGATGGTGGCTCATGTTATCCTGCAACAGGTTCGCGGGAACAAAACCCGCGAAGCCAGTCAAAGCTGGCAGCATAATACTGGCAAGCGCTGAATTTCCTTAAAATCATTTGAAGAACAACACATCTCAATTGTGTATCATTTCCTGGTGTCTTAGTTCGTGTAGACACTAGGCCACGACTAGTCATGCTTGTATCATAGAGCCTGCTGCTTCCATGATCTTCCATGAAAGTGGTCTGCAGATGTAGGAAGGGATGTCAAATATGTCAAGCTTCGCCTAAGAGTCTCAGTCTGAAGGTGAAGGTGAGCCACTGTGCTGACATTCTTACTCTACATTGTTGAGTGGTCGGAAGACAATAATCCATGGCAAAGGTCAGGTCACAGTCTGTGGGGTAGCTCTCTTTCAGACTTCTTGGTTCAATCTTGACTACTAATTTTTCGATTCGGTATTTCTTTGCGCGTGGGTTGGACTCAAGATAGTCACGACCCAGCAAGGAAACGATCATGAACTTCGACCAGGTGGTGGTTTTTGATGAAGGCCCCTGGACTGCGACAAGACCGTTGCCGACCGTTGCCTACTTCGGGGTGCATCCCATTTAGATCCATTTAGTATATATGCTACATTCTGCTACACCCCCAGTTGCATATGGAGTATCCCCACTTATACATGGCATATGGGTTAGATATGGATTCTAAACCACTTCCGTGGGATGCATTGGACCAATGCTCACCGGGACTGGTGACACGTCCCGTGTAGGACTGGTGATTGAGAACGGCACGGTAGACGAATTGCGGAAAGCCGATGGAGCATTTGCCGCCATGTTGAGGGCCACTCGTCCAGGTCCGGGCTGTCTGTAAGGGGGGTTTTCCATAAATGGAGGCACCCCAAAATGGATGGATGGTTATGATATGTTATGATGGTTTATTTCATGGCAACACCTATCTATGGATGATTTCTAGTGGGTAACCCGGTAACCCCATTCCAGGAAACCCCCATATATAGCGGCGTAGCTATTTTTCATGGAGACCCATCGACCCGTTTAATGAGCCGAGAAACAGACAAGGGCATCTGTCACTCCATCGCCCTCCAACGGCAGATTTGCTGCGATTCACCGCAGCAGTACTGGAAAAACAGGTGCCAAAACACATAAAGACGGTTTATCCCGGGGTATGTTACAGATAGTGGCCACTACAAACTTAGACGTACATAGACCAGGCTTTCACCCAATTTGGACCTCACATCCAGCTCTGGCCATCTTTGGCCCGAAATTTTGAGGTGGTCTTGCATGGTCTTGCTATGGTCATGTGTTTTCCCATTGTTTTCATACGTTTTGTTAAACCCAGTGACCCTCCATGCACCGACTGCTCCAATGCCTTCCTCGTCCTCCGAGGCAAAGGCGGCCGCAAGCGTGAGACCATCCCAGCTGCCAAGCAGCTGATGTGTTGGTTGGCAGTTGGTAGCGCTTCCATTTTGATCCATGGTAAGGGATTTTAACATGTTTCAATATGAGTCTTGATGTGTTTTGAAGTTGGCTTAGCAATATTTCAATTTCTACCTCCAAATGATCCAAATGGCTGTTGGAGGTAGTCCCTTCAATGGTCAGAATGAGGTTCCATTCTGAGGCACAGCACTCGCCAGCCCTGTGATTTTCACCACAATTTGCTCAGTGCTGCACCTGCAGCAGGGAGATGCAACCACGCAGCACGCTGGAAAAAATATCAGATGCATTATTGATGTATTGTCTTTAGAATGGCTGAAATGCATTAACCCTAGTGCTACATTTCTCATCGTTCTGTTGTTTTCCCACAAATTCCCACAATATACAACGAATTTTGCATCTCCGACCAGTATTTGGTAGTTTTCTACTTGGACGGGGAGTGGGGTGGAACTTGCCAATTGCCACCGAGGGGAAGGGCTGCTTGACCGGAGCTCAGCTTTACAAGATCTGAGACGAGTAGATCGAAATCTATCCCGTATGGCAAGGTGTGCAAGGTGACCCATCAGTTATCAGTTTAGAACCCTCGCTAGGTCCAACTGCGTTGTAACCACATACAATCATGTCAGCGTTTTCTTACCCCAACTGGGGGTGTACACAAGATATGATGTGTGTATTCAGATTTTTACCTGAGGCCGGCGTGAGAGCCCGCGGCTTGGGACCTCTGCCCCTACCTCAGCTGATCATTGACTCATTATTCGTGATCCGATCCATGATGCCATGGCACAGGCAAATCCCAGCATGGGGCTCCTTGGATGCTCGGGTGGACTTCACCGTTCCAGTGGAGGCCAAGTTACACAAAGATGGGCTTGGAATTCGTTCTCGATGGTTCACTGGTGGATTGGGTTCCAGCAGAAAGTCACCCGTGGAACATGTTTTCTTAGGGTTTCCTACGGAGTTCTGCGATTCAATTACTTGTTGAGTCAGATCTGGGATTGGCTCAAAGTCACTGACACCCAAGAGTGCATGCCCATTCAAAATTTCTGGCTATGAATTCGGGACAAATCCACCATTTCTGGGCAAACCTGTTATTGATTCTCGATATCCCCATCTACCCATATGTACCCCCCATTGCAGGTTAGACTATTTTTCATGACTGATTAATTAGTATTTTTTGGGGGAAGTTGCATCAATTTGGGTTAATTCCTCAGTACCTATATTTATCCATATCCTATGAACATCCTCCTTATCATTATCGGTTCTATAATACCCATTTGCTTCCAGTTGCAGAGCCTTTCGTCGCCAGGTGAACTATGGAGGGGTGCAGCTGGGACGATCTCACGAGGTACTGTATGACGATCTCACAAGGTATGGAAATGTATTGAATTGTCGATGTATGCAAGCACAATACATACATAATAATGCTCACACAGATATATTATATGTATATATGTATTATATATGTATATGTAAAATATGCATATGTAAATAAATAAATAAATAAAAATACACACACACATATATATATAAATATATGGCACCCCCCCCATGTACCTACCAAATTGTGATTTTAGTCGCTATTTGCAGTCTTTTTTTAATATATCGCAATACGATTTTTTACACCTGTTTTGTCAAGTTTTCGTGAGATGCCATAGCACCCATCCTCCAAGAACCATAGACAAGAAGAACCATAGACAAGCTGAGTCTACATTACATAACCTTAGGACAATGTTGAATTCTGAAGCGTTTGCAAACGGTTGCAAACGACCAGAACCAAGAAGTAAGAAGTAAGAAGTAAGGCTCTCAGAAAACTCCTTAGATCTCCTTAGTTCCCAGGCCCTGGGAACTAAGAAGCAAGAAGTAAGGCTCTTGAGTGCGATTCGCAAAGCCGAATGGGAATCATTGGCTTCCAAGCATCTGAAGGACAGGCAAGTGATCCTACACACCGATGCTGCAAAGTCATACAAAGCCAAGGTGCTTGGAATGCTTCATGACAAGGTGATCCATGGAAAGAAACGCGTCAAAGTGAGAGGCAAATTCAAATGGCAAGCGCCTGCTTATGTTCGGCTTGTCAAGCACACCTGCCCCAAGACGGGGAAAACTGTTGTGGTGAAACCTGGTAATTACCCAGATTGTAGATCGGGCATGGGCATTTCTGAAAGAGCGCGTTCAGATCAATCAGCATGCCAAAGTTGGTTCTGCCAATTTGCGTGCGCAATCGCGATCTGCCCAGTATGAGTATTGGCACATGGGTCACGATCTGTGGATGCACACAGGGGTGCTTTGTCACTGGGCAATGACAAAGTTCACCAGCTGAAGAACTTGAAATCCTGCAGTATAGGCAAAATGATCGCCTGCAGCGTGTCACTGTCCATATGTATATCTTGACCAATACTTTCATCCATGTCTATTGCATACCCTACATTCATGGCATTCATTTGATTTCACTTGTATTTTCCCAAAGTATGGCATCTGGTTGAAATTCTGCATATCCCTCCACGTCGTCACCAGGTTCATAGGTTCCTGGGACGTGCGGATCCTCGCACAGTCTGCATTCATCCGTATCTTCCCAAAGTATGGCATCTGGTTGAAAATTGCATATCCCTCCACGTCGTCACCAGGTTCATAGTTTCCTAGGACGTGCGGATCCTCGCACAGTCTGCATTCATCTGTATCTTCCCAAAGTATGGCATCTGGTTGAAATTCTGCATATCCCTCCACGTTGTCACCAAGTTCATAGTTTCCTGCGATGTGCGGATCCTCGCACAGTCTGCATTCATCCGTATCTTCCCAAAATATGGCATCTGGTTGAAAATTGCATATCCCTCCACGTCGTCACCAGGTTCATAGTTTCCTAGGACGTGCGGATCCTCGCACAGTCTGCATTCATCTGTATCTTCCCAAAGTATGGCATCTGGTTGAAATTCTGCATATCCCTCCACGTCGTCACCAGGTTCATAGTTTCCTGGGACGCGCGGATCCTCGCACATTCTGCATACATTTATGTCTACACAAACTGTGTCATGCCTGTCGTATGCTTCCTACATGTTCATATTTCATACTTTGTTCTGTTTCTCACTGCCTTACCTTCTACCTCACACTACCAGAAAGCTAGGTATATAAGGGGGGTAGCTTTTATATATATCTATATATATCTATATATATCTATATATATCTATATATATCTATATCTATCTATATATAGACATATTGTAACGCACAGAAGCGCGCGCGCATATATCTCCGTGTGTGGTTTTGATTGTGTGTGTTTCTCTTACGTTTGTTTGAGATTTGTGATGGCAACTAAGTCACCTTTGAACTGGCCTCAGCTGCCGTCTGACCAGAACTCCACATGGGCCACTTGGCCTTGAGGTGGCGGTACTGCACTTGTTGGAAAGTTATCCAACGGAGTCCTTGATAAATTCGCTGGGCACTTAGTCGCTGGCTGGTCTCCTTTGAGTACGTTCCTTATGAAAAAAATGGAAGTATATAGTCTATGCCTATACTGGGCTGTAATATATGTGTTATGTGTCTTTTTTCTTCATTTGTGTTTATTTCCGGCACACGAGGAGATCATCGACACTTTATATTCATTTGCTTCAGCGATGCAGGCGGTACCATGAGTTGCGGGCTGAGGGCTTGGATGTGGTTGAAGAGATCTTGAAGGCTTGTGCGAGCTTTTGGCCAAATTGTTCACCTACGAAATCACATGAAATCACCAACTCATTTTGGTTGAAATGGACACACAGTGGGTTTGCATCATTCTGTTTGACTCGTTTGACGTTTCATGTGCAGCTACAGCGGTGATGTTTTCAGGGCCTCTTCGACGGCTCGAATGGCACAACGGCCTTGGCCTGGGCCGCAGTGTGAAAGCACTTGGAGGACCCGCCAATGTTTGGTCAAAGTGCCAAAAACGCAGAACCCAAACGTGCTCAATCAATCATTTCCGACATTTCTGAAACAACACTGTTCACAGTTTAGGAGGTGATTTTTTTTGGAGGGTTAGTTTACCAACCCAAACAAACCCAGGGGGAAATAGATATAGATGAAACACGAAGTCCTGGATGAAATGTGTAACTGTGTGACTATATGAGTTGTCTCTCCATCAGCAATTGGAAAGGTTCGAAAGTACGAACCCCCAAGTGTTTTGCCGTTTGGCCGAGGCTTTTGTTCGTGAAAATGAGCGTACTTGGAGTGAGGCCACAGCACTTGGCGTTTGGTGCTGGAGCTTGATCTGATTCGCTCAAATTCATGGATGATGAATGAATGATTGATGGATTTCAGGATGGAGAATTACAGGAAATGGATTGATCCCATCCCCCTAAAAAAAAAAACATCCAGAAACCATGGTGGATCGCGCCATGGAGGTCCGGAGAGACTGCCGCTTCAGCTACAACCATGGCCGGTGAGAGCAAAAAAGCGCGCCATGCCGTGTGGATGGGTCAAGTCGGTCAAGTTACCATATCAAATGATCATATGACTGGGGGAACAACCATCCAGATGACTTAGGGTTTCCTAGAGTCTCATGGTTTTGACTCATATCCAGATATGTCATATGTGCAGATGCCGATTAAACTGTCGTTTGGGTCTATGTCCTGAATCAGTCAATGCATGCAGACACATGAAGACCCAGTTTTGTTTCAGGTGACGTGGCATGTCCTTTCCGCTCTTGATTTTAAAGTATTTTAGATTTTTAACATCAATAGTTTGAACATGTTTGAACATTATAAATTAATTATATACACGGTATCAATTGAACATTTCAAGGCTGGGAATAGATCCAGGATGCCCAGGAAATGGGCAAGTTTGAGTTGTGCGGCGATGCATGAGCCAACGACATGTATTCGGTCTAGCTGGCAGCCATGCCTGGCCATGCCTCCATTCAATTTTCGAAATGACCTTACTGAAAAACAGTCATCAGGGCGAACATTTTTACATCTCTCATCCTCCCCTAATGGTGAAACGTGTAGAAAAAATGCAACTGGATATGACCTTGGAAAAGTGGGGCAGTGGGTAATGATTATCAATACACACACGTATTTTTTTTTCTATCTCTCTTTGGACATGCAGTGTCACAAATCCCTGGCAAGGGATTAAGCAACGAGATGGAAAGGGCACTTCGCAATTTGAAGAAATGGATGCTGCATGTGAGGAGATAGGAAGGTTGCTATCAGCATGCACCACTAAACCTGGCACCGTTGCGCGCCATGGGATGTGCCCAGCACGCTAGACTCATATGGAGGCAGGATGGGATATTTAATTCAGATACGACGGCGCGGCTGAGGTTGGCTTGGCCAATCCCATTGCGAGCCTAGCTCTTGGAAAGATTGGTTGATCCTATATGCTACCAGAATCTACCAGATGGCTCCAGCGTTTGACTTTTGTAATTGGGCTCCCAAACACTGGAAACCATCATCATATCCCTCAAATTGTTGGTGACTGATCTACTTAAATGATCTTAAATGTACCTAGTGCATCAAGAACCCACAAATTTGTAGGTCTTTTTCCAAAAGCACGTTTTTTTCGTCAAGAAAACTAATTTTCTCACAAAAAATATGGATAAATGGTTTTTCATGTTTTTCTTTATTTTTTGTCAGACTTGGTGTCATCCGTTCGCTTAGGCGATTTAAACCCCTTTATTGATACTAGGCTTGGATCTATCCCTCTCAGTACCCTTCATGTTGATTATGCTTCCACCCCGCTGGCCTTGGATGGCAGTTCTCACAAGAAAGGACCAACTCTGCTCTTGGAACATGACGGACAACTTTAATTGTGATCACAGTCAATCCGGAGTCGTTGGAATACTTTTTCCGACAAGAACCACTCCTATAGAAGCATAAATTTGAATCATTTTGAAACATGGCCGTATTTTTTTCATTTGGAAAAAATCTCATTCTGGATTGCCAAAATCGAACAGCGAACAGATTCGAACAAAATTATCAAACACATGACCAAAATCATCAGATTCCATCGGGAGTCGCATTTTTTAATTTTGGATTACAATTTTAAGGTCCGCACCCAAGAAATACCAAAGACTCATATTTTGGCCGTATTAAGCCGTACTAAACCAATATTTATCCCGTACTAAACCAATATTATTAATATCATATCTGATATAATAGAAAAACCAGGTTTCTGGGAACCCATATTTAAACCATATTAAACCCATAATTAAATCCCCGTGGCAATTTCCACTCTAGAACTGGTGAACCTGTGCATAGTTTAAACGATTTTTTTAATGCATTGGAATTTTAAAATTGATGTCAGGCTAGTCATTTTATTGTTGGGGGGTTGGGCTAAGCATTTTATTGTAAAGGTAAATCCTGATGATTTTTAACATGTTAAAATTCCATTCTCATTTTATTGCAAAAACATGTTTGCTTGGAGCATTTTATTGCAGAATGGAACCAATGCTTTTCCAGGATCTTTTTATATCGATTTTATTGGGCATGTCATTTTAGATCAGCGAATTTTAAGGAATTTGAAGGAATTCTAAGGAATTTTAAGGAATATTAAGGAATTTCAAAGGAATTATAATGAGTATTAAGGAACTTTAAAGGAATTATACGGAAATTTAAGGAATTTAGAGAGTTTTAAGGAATTTTAAGGAATCTTAGAGGAATTTTAAGGATTTTAAAGGAATTTGACGGAATTTGAAGGATTTTGGAGGATTTTTTAAGGATCTTTAATGTTTTTAAAATTTAAAGGATATTTAAGGAATTTCAAGGAGTTTTTTGGAATTCTAAGGAATTTAAAGGATTTTTAAGGAATTTTAAGGAATTGTCACGAAAGAATGCCACCGTATTTTGTTGCTATAGAATGCTATTAAAAAAAAACACACTAAATATTTGGGCACCTTCACTCTAAAATACCCCTATCTAAAATGGATTTCCTGACCTCTTTTTAAAGATGCGTTTCTGAGGGTCTTCAAAATTGGATGAAATTGGATGATGTTGGATGCACATTCAAGCATGAATTTGGTGGCAAGGCATTTTATTGCAGAGCCAGTTTTCATTGTTTTTGTGCATTTTAAAGCCTGAGGCCTATGCACAAAAGTTAGACCGCTCTAAAACTCCTGCACAGCTTCACATAATGAATTGGCACCCCGATATAATTAACCCATACTAACCCGTACTCAAGACTCAAAATATGTTTTTTTTTGCCTCTGGGAATGGACGGCTGCGACATCAAGTTTTTAGGCCCCGCTTGTCGTTTTGCAAGATCGAACCGGAAATTGCAAGATCCAGACAAAAAGTAAACAACGCGGATTATCGGAACTATTGTCAGTTTGCTGGGTTCACATCTGAAAAACTGACTTTTGAAATGCCATGCATATACATAGTGACTTTTTGACTGTTAAGCCTGTTGAAGGGAAAGTTCGCAGCTTGGGAGGTAAATGCAGCTTGGTGGAGAATGCACGCGTCGTGTGTGATAACGTTTGCTCCAGTTTCGATGGTGTGTTCCCTTTGACAGATTTCGGAAGTTGTCAGTATGAAGTTGTTAGATGTGAAGCAGAATTTTGATACAGGTCCACCCGATTTGGACAAATTTGTGCAAATCCAACAAAAAAAAATATGGTTCTTTACAAAAATCCTTTTTTTTTCTCGGAAAACTAGGTTTTCGTGACTGGACCTACAATTCTTAGGGTCCTTGAAGCTCCTGATAGTTAATGTTAAGTGTCAAATGTCCATAAATGCCGCAGTTTTCTTGGCGTTCGCCGGTGATTCAGGCTGTTGGTTGCTACCGCCTCCGCTTCCAGCCTTGTGGGCCCTGGGGCTGTTGGATCTTTCCAGGGTGGAGGTGGCGGCCGGCGCTTTGGCGGGTACCTTGGTGTTGAGGGGGCCATAGACCTAGGATCACCTAGGTGATTGTAACGACAATGACATGATGCCTTTAGGATTCCCGGAAAAAACTGAAAACCAGAACCTCGGCATAATATCTTAGTATCACTTGAAAGTAGCCTTGCCATGAGCCTCAACAATTCCCAACCTTGAGGTGCATTGTTTGGCGTCATGACTGTCATGAGACAAAGAATTCTGGAGTCAATCCCGTTTTTTATCCCTGTGGCTTGACGACGCCCAGGTTTGCTCGAGTCACCGATCCTCCTGTAGGTTTCTTCCTTGGGGGCTCGAGCATCCGCCAGGACCTCAATGCAGCTGCCAATTTTGGGTTTGTCCTAACATATCAACACAGGACATCTATGGACATCTATGGAAATCTGGTGGTTCATCATGGTTCATCATGGTGTATCAGTATTATCATATCTTAGCATCATTTACCCATGCATACTCTTGTTGGATATCCTCCATTCTAAGACATATCGATTTGAAAACCAGTCGAGTGCAAATCACAAAGTTGTGTTCATCGCATCCCAGGCGAGATGAACGGCCTCTACAGCCGAGAACATCGAGTGCCATGGGGCTTTAGCCATACCTTTACCTTTTCCTACCGAGCCGACCTCAGACATGTCATGTGACGGCGAAGAATCGCAGCTGAGCTGTGGCTCAGGACATGACTACACTGGTTGGCGCATGTGTTTGGTCAACGCGCCAGAAGATGTCACGAAGAGCACCGGTCGACATACTGAATGGGTTGCTAGGCAGAGCTACGCAGAGTTTCTGGTTTCTAATTTTTGAGCGTATGGATGCTTGTGATTGTTAGTTGGCGCTTTCCTTTTTCTTGCTTTGCCATAGCAATTCCCATGTTGATCCAGTTTCAATATACTCATATCTTGACTTTATGCACACACACATTGTATATTATATATATACATATTATTATATATTATTATATTCATATAATTACCTATATTTATATACATTACATATGTGTGTGTGTGTGTTTGTGTGTTTGTGTGTGTGTGCAGCCAAACATGTATGATAGATCTCCATTTATGATACATGTTATGCTGTGATGTTTGGTTTTCTGTTGTGTTAGTGTTGTTTGTGGCGTCTTGCGAGGTCCTGATTGATCCGGACAAGGCGCTTCTATTGGGTCCTGCCACGATCATAAACCCACTCTCTCTCGCTTTATTTACATATATTTACATTGGCCTATTTTCACTTTATTGAATCTCATCTATATACTTATTGTATCATTTGATGTCTTGCACACAGAAAGAAATGCACTTTTTAACCTGTAGTTGACCCTTGGGGCAAGGGGAGAGGCCCCTTCTTCGAGCTCTTGAGGCGGATCGTTTCAGGCACGATGGGGACCAGTACATCCCTGGATCCGGACATCGTTGGAGCCATGTGCACCGGACAAAGGATGCGCAGCCCAATGTTAAGGCCGGCAGCAGTGGCCCGTCGCCCGTGTGTTGCTGTCAGCCATGCAACTGGATGGTTTCTTTGCATGCGAGGCTGGCAATGCCGTTGCACAGGCTGTTGAGGCCGGTGCTGTCCATGATTTCTCTTCAAAGATCGTTTTGTCTTCAAGCTGGTGGTTCACGGCTGGGGAGTACGTTGTAGCAGCTGTAGCATGTTTTAATATGCTTTTGCATGTGTTAGCTTTCTGAGAGATGTCATTGAATGTTGGCACACTGTAGCTCTTCCGATATTTCCCCCACCGTTTTCACCAAACATCAGATTGTAGCACTACGCCTGGACAGGATGATGAGGAAGAATTACCTTGGCAAGTTGTTGGTGTTAGTGCCACTTGGTCAACTCTGCGGTCTCCGGGAAAGGTGGCCCAGCGGCCGCAAGCTCCTAAGGCAGAGGATATGATGAACCACTTGAAACGCTACTTTAACTTCTACAAGCACGAGGCCTGATTCCGAAGTATGAAGCACGCAGCAAAGTATCAATCAAATATGCTGAAGGTATTTGTGTTCTATGAAATTTCTGCGAAGTTTCACTCAAGCGCCCCCTTGAGATAGACAGGCTGCAGTTCCCATAGCCATCCACCCAAAAATCACGGGCCAGGTTCAAGCTGCCATCGAGGGGAGCAAGCTGCCAGCTTTGCCCATGGGTGGTAAAGGGAGGGCAACTGCTCCACCAGCGACTTGGACCAGCTGGGAGGATGCCTCCGGTGTCATCAAACATGGCCCCCAGAAATCATAGTTCAATGATGTTCAATGATAATCCCATTGAAACAAATCAAAACCTCCTAGTTTGATCTAGTTTGGAGATTTTCCATGATTTTCCGGCAAACCATGTCTGATGGCCAGAGGGTACAGTAGTACCCTGTCCTACCTGGGATGAGGATGAAGATGAGGATGATGATGATGAGGATGAGGAGGACGAGGATGATCCCAATTTGTAACTTGATTTTTGGTATCGGTTGAAACTACCAACCTGCAATAGTTGATAATAGTTGGTGGCTTACTGCTAGTAAAGTTTATAGCGATGAACGCACGAACGTGGTAAACCATAGTAAGATATAGTAAGCCACTGTCAACCGATGTTGTTTCATGTTTATATAAATTAGATATTAATTGCATGTGTATATATATATATATATGAGCGACGGCTTTTATTTGGTTAAATGGAGAGTAGTGTTGGGGCGTACCCCGGTTTGCCGAAAACATTATAATTAGGCTTTAAAATACGAGGTAGGAACACCCCGAGAACGAGGTAGGCATCTCATGTAAAGCATTTAATTTTAGCAACTAAAAGCAAGCGCGGCGTTGGAAAACGAGGTCAGACCCCAAAAAACGTTACGGGACTGGAGAACGAGGTAGGAACACCCCATCAATTGCGTTATCTACCAAATAAAGTGCGCAGCTCACACACACACACTATATATATATAATATAATATATATATATATAATATAATATATATATATATATAATTTATATATATATATAATATAAAATAATATATATATATATATTTGTGTGTAAATTATAGACATAACACGTGGGGGTTGAAACCTGATGCCACGGGTATTGAACCCAAATGCCGTAGTCCATAGTGTATAGGTGGTGGGTGCCTATTGGGTTGTTGCGTTGAAGATAAAACGCACGCCGGCTGACATAGGCCAGGTGATGCTTGATGGATGAACCATGATGAACCCAAACGGTTGGATATGTTTGGATTGGGTGGCTTGATTCTGGGCACCAACTACTCAGGAAGGATTTCAGCCACCCAAAGCTGCCATTGCAGACGAAGCTGACCAATCTGACAGCTGCTCTGAAGGACCCTGTCCAATCCTGTTCGGGCACAGCCCCTGCTTGACCCATTTCCAGCTTTTTTTACCCAGACGGTAAAATTCCCAGGCCGCGTAGCAGAGCCCACTCATAGATAGTGTCAATCTGTTGTGTAAGAAAAAATGCATCCGACCGTCAAATTTTGGTGTGCCCCCTTTGATCTCTTTGGTTTTCCTTTGAAATTCTTTAAGTGTGCAGCAATCAATATCTGGTAGGGAAGTGGGCAACTTGATCCCACTGGTGTTTGGGGCAGGACATGCCAGCTTTGCCAATGCAGAGGCTGACGGTTGCAATGCCCGCTCTGCGAAGCGCATCTCTTTAAGCCAGCCACATTTTTTGAGGGGAAGAATGCCAAGTGAAATTCCCAAAATGAATCGATCCATCACCAAACCAGGGTTTCTGGGGAGTGTTTGGAGAAAAGGGATTGCAGATGATTGCAGGCTTTTCTGAGTGATCCCCACCGGCCCATTCAATCGACTGCACACTTACTCCATTCTCAATTCATCATCTCCATATATCTTCATTTATCCAGTAGTGGAGTGATGGTTTCCCCATCCCCATCATATCTGCCTTTTCAATCCTTTTCCGCCGTTCCTTGGATTCCTTGGGTGCCCAGCGCAGGCAGAACTCCAGGAACTCCAACGCCAGGGCGGCCAGGTCCACTTCGATTGGTCCCTGGCCACACTGCAGCTGCGACTGGCCATCTGCCATCGTCGAAGCAAAGACTTCGACGCAGCACAGCAGGTGCCGGGGCGGAACGGGTCCTGCGACTGGTGGAGCAGTTGGAGAGTTTCTGGATATTTGATTATTGCATATTCTTTGCAAAGAAGTTGTAATTATATATATATAATTAAACAGTGGGAGAGAGAGAGAGAGTTGTACATGTAATTATATATATAGAGAGGTGTAGATAGGATTAGATTAGATTAATCAATTTTTGGTTTGGTTAGACTACGTAGATTCGATTCGATTAGATTGGATAGATAGACAGATTACATAGGGAGGAAAAAAACAGTTGTGAAAGCACGTTCAAGCCACAATGAATCATGGTATATCATGGTGCAATATCGAGCGAGTCACAAACAGTTGGCCATTTGGGATGAGACAGAGGCTCAAGGAAAGCCCGGAATGGAGCTGTGGAGGTTGTTTCAGGACTTCGTGCTAATGTTGTTGATCACGAGTCAGCAATTCTACTGGCTGTTGTTTTGTGAGTAATAGTCATTCATAGCTTCTTATTTTGTTTCTCGGACTTCCATATGCGGTGAAGCCAAGGACTTTTCCGAGATCTCAATCCGAGAGAACCTACAGGTAATCTGTAATCCCATATATCTTTATTTGTAAACATATCTACAGGTGTTGCTATAGGTTTCAACCGCCCAGTTTCCAACCAACTGAACATCACTGAGGCGTTGCAGGCATCCCTGACGCTCTACCCGCGCTATGCAGCGGCTCTTGAGGAAATGGGCAAGTTATGGATCGACCGGGGTGTCTATGAGTCACTTGGCCTTGCCCTCCACATTTTCATTACCCTCATGTAGATCTTGACATAGCGAACCGGAAAATCACAATTTTTGATAAAGGGAAATCATCATAAATCAATATAAATCATCCATGAACGGGCCATTCGCCATAGTTAGGTTAAATCATGATGGTATGATGTTTAATCCATTTAGTTCGATGTATACAAGGGTTAAAATCCTGCTTATTTCTGGTGAATTTTCACAGATTACCACCCGGTATCACCTGGTATGCCATTGAAATGTGGGAAAATCAAACAAAGAACCTGGGGATGGGGTCGCGGGCAGAAATGGGCATGTGTAGGTTTGGGGTTCATCACAAGGTTTACTGGATGGTTTTAGAAGCTATGCTTCGATCAGCATACAAAAAAGTAAAAAGTAATTCTACAACCTTGCACACATCATCATGGCCAATCAGCATGAATCGCTGCTTCAAGGCAAGCTATCCATTCCTTTGAGACGCTCTTACGTGTAGATCGACACTTGGATCGCGAGTCTGGTCCCCCTGTGATGTTGTGATCTTGAAGGGGTTTATGAGCGGTGGCAGTGAGGTGTCACTTCACCCAAGGCCCAGGGCCCCATCCTCAGCTGGTGACCCAAGGAAAGTGGCCAACAGTTGCTGGTTGGTTGGTGCGGGCTCACACCCTGCAGAGACGCCAGGTGGAGCAGTTTTTGGTGGAGAAACCCGAAGTTTTAAAGGACTCTTGCCTGGTCAAGGGCTAGAGGTTCAAGAAAGAGAACTTTGGGCAAGGGACCCAAGTGCAGACAAAAAAAAGGTCATGCATGTTTCTGGAACCACTTTTTTTAAATCTGAATGGGTTTGAGAACTTTGAGATTAGCAAAGCCCAACAACACGCTCAAGAGAATACCTGCATGTAGAATGTAGAGCTGAGACACAATTTCTTGCAAGGCCATGCAAGACACGGTTCCACAGTTTGTACCCAGCCGGACCCAGCCCATATGAGCGGAATCTAATCCTCGCCATTTAAAATTGCTCCAGAATTGATGGTGCAAAAGAGATGCGAAAGCAGAGACTTCAGAGAGTTTGGCTGAGTGGCGACTGAATCCAAGGGTCGAACTGAGCATTGCATTGCGTGGCGCCAAACTGGTGGCTGCTCACCAACTGGTTTGCTGGAACCTACAGCAGATAAATCTTGCAAGGCGGTCATTGTAACTTGGATCAGAAGTGTCTTGACAGCTGTGTCTACCTGATGACTTTCTGAACTTGGCTCATAGTGGGAGGAAGTCAGGCGCAACAGTGCACAAGCTTTTGGATAAGAGATAGAAATGGGACATATATGGAACATGTTCACTCTTTGTGCTGCAAAGGTGGCAGGCAACTCTGGATTTTGCCAGTGCCGCTTGGCACAAACAGCACTTGGTGTCTTTTTCTCATTTGCTATTTATCACATTGATTAATGAGATTAATAGTCCTGCCCATTCTACCGAGAATTTGCTGCATCCGCACAAGTGAGTTACATTCTATGGTTGTTGCACATGCTGCGCAACTGCCCATGCTAGAAATCCGTCACTACTATTTTCAACTATGACTTCTAGCTGCGGGCTTTCTTCAGGTCATACTTTTGTCTCATGGATGGTGCGAGGGAAGATTTACAGGGGCCCAATCTTAAAGCACAGTTGGGGGTGGCTGCATGCAACAATTCCAAGAAATCAACTAAGGTTTTGCTGGTTGAACCCCCAGTCTGCTTGCTTAGAATCCGGTTAGAATCCCTGGTTACTTTCTGAGGCGTGAGTTCTGGGTCTCGTGGGAAGTCCGGCTTTGCCCCTGCCACTGCGGCTGAAAGCAACTGTGCCTGGTGCTTAGCTCATCTGCTCAGGGGCAGCAATATCTATATAGTTAGTCTAGTTGCTTGGGGTGAAAACCTGCTGCAAAAACACTGGGTGCATGTTTGTACAATTTTGTACGCATATCCCATATATAAGAATATATAAGATGATTATATATTTATATATTATACACATGTTATCATCTACTGTAAGGAAAGAACATTTGCACCCGCACGCACGTAGACATGTATACATAGAAAATTATATCTATACATTTATAAATACATAGTTCTGTATTAAATATACATATCAGGTATCTATGATGATTCTTTGATATATCATATAAGTAATATATATACATTTATAACAACATGATATATTATCGTACATAAATATATGTATATATTTAGTATGATCAATATAATGTATGAATAACTTTATATATATATAATATGTACAGTATATGAAATATAATGTATGAATAATATATAATGTATAATATATATATATGATATTATATATGTTTAACATATGATAATACGATATATGATATTTAATCTATATATAATGTATTACATGTAATATAATGTAATGTAATATAATATGATTTAATATTGTAAATATTTGTATGTATGATATAAAACATATTGTATATGTACAGGCCCCGCTTAAAAAGAGGGAATTTGAAAAGCATTGGTTTGGGAGGTGGAATCGAAGCTTGGATCCAGATGAGGATCACGGACCCTTCACTTGTGCAGAGCAGTGCCAAGAGAGAAGCAAGGCGTGAAAAGTGTATTGTTTTGATGAGTTTTCGACGGCGCTGCTGGTGAGATTTTCCGCACCTATGAAAGGGTTTGCGAAGATTGGCTTGACTACATGCGAAAATGATCACAAATGGACATCTCAGCAAAGACACAGAACGATTTCCCAAGCAAATGATCATGATCAGTGGATGTTCTAGAAGACATTCCAACACCCGGAGCTTCGTGACAATGTGGGTAGGAAATGCCCAGGAAACCTGTGCCAATTCTGTCCTGGAATCGGTTAAGGACTTTGTCCAAACCAACAAAGTATAAATTCAGATCTATTTCCAGCAAAAAAGTGCATAATATGGCAAAATTAATCCGTTTCCCCCAATACTAACCCCCCAAATAATAAACACCTCGGGTAGTTTTTTTTTTAATTAGGGGTATTTAGTATTAGGGTGCGAAGCTTCCCCCTATACTAAATTAAAAATCCAAATATAAAAAACTAGTTTTTCCATTTCAAAATCGATTAGATTTCCTTTTAAAATCTATAAATATTGCCAAAAAATAGGATTTCGATGCTTTCCCCTAATATTAAATACATTAAAAACCCTAATATATTCTGTTTTCGACCTTAAAAGACGGACCCTAATAAAAAACACCCCGGTTGACTAGTTTTTATGATTAGGGGGTGAAACCCACAAATGGTAGCTTCATCTTTCAATCGTTTTCTAAAGGGGATCAAGTAAAAGTCAAATTGGCCAACATCAAATTTTCCGAAATTGGAGACGGACCCTAGTTTTTTTTTAATTTGAGGGGATTTAGTAATAGGGAGAAGGGATTACTATGGCTCCCTGTCGATGTTCATCATCCATGGGCCTAGCTCGGTGCCTCCAGGCAGAGGCGGGACTTGCGCTCACTGCGGAAGCTGCCCAGTTGGCATCTGAAGTGTCCGAAGCCGTTGATGCGCAAGCCTGCAGCCTCTTGCGGGGAGGCTGTCGCACGTCGCTGTCCAACATCTAAAGATTGGTATAGTATAGGCAGATGTAGGTGGTTTCGAACCATTTAGATTGTTCAAAATTTTCAGATGACTGTAGGTAGGAGATGGTAGGCGATGGTAGGTGATGGTAGGTGATGGTAGGTGTATGTGTCACTTTCAAGCATAGAAACAGGCTGATGGATCCCCATGATTGCCATTTTGAAGGTTGGTTGAAAACACCGAGTGCCCAGGGACCTGAGATCTTTTTTCATTCTTGGCAGAGCCCTGAAGTGCGTTCAAAAACGAGTGCAACTCGGGAACCTTATCGAACAACATTCGTGAATTTATGAACAATGATCCAGGCGGACAGCCTGCTACTTTCAGGAATGAATTGCTGTTTTTTTTCCAGCTGCTTATGTGCTACTTTGCCAATCTTTGCCATTTTCTGGGCGGCTCCGGAAGACACTTGGGATCAAGACCGCCGGAAGGTCCCAACATGGCCCCGGATCCGGCCTTTTGGGTCAGCGCATGTCTGCTTGAAGCTGCTTGCCTCCTGTGGTTATTCACTGGCCTGAGGTCATTTCTCGATTCCTCAGAAGGCAAAACCTGCAGGCAGAAGCTGGCATTGTTGAGGTCACTTGGATAATGCCCCGGGAAACCCATGAAAATCCTTGAAAATCCACCATTCAAAGGAAAATTACATGATTCTACATGATTCACATACTATACTATATTACTATATATATATATTACTATTACATATTATATATATGATATTGATATATTATAGCTTTTGCCGTAGCGTTAACATCGCATTAATAACACCCGTCAAACATAAAGGGAACATAAACAATGCTGAGGCGAAAAAAAATGTTTGGGGGTTTGGGGGTCCATTAATTTTTCAACAACCAATTGCCTAATCGAAAACGAATCATGAGTGTCATGTTGCGACCCTTTTAGTATTGCCGAACAATTTGCCTAATTAATTAAAAACGAATAAGTGCCATGTTGTGACCTTTTTGGTATTACCGAATAAATTGCCCAATTGAAATCAAATACATAAGTGCCATGGAAAGCAGCTAAGAGGTAGCAAAGCAATGTATTTTAAAGGGGATTTTGAAAGCTACATATATTCGCCCGACATTTCCCACAGAAAAAACAAACTATGTTACTTTCTATACTTTTCTTATTTGGGGTGGTAAACATTGCTTTTTCTTGTGGTGAACCGAGGTGGTTCAAGGCTACCTTTTCGAGTTTCAGGTCTTTGAGGTCAGATTAAATCAGGAGGGAAAAAACATGAAAAAACTGAAAAAAAATAAGAGGAAAAACATGGAAAAACAGAGGATAAACAAATCCTCACAGGAGGTTGCTTTAAAATGGCGGTGTTTGGCGTACTTTATTGTGGCAGAGTTTGCTATGCGAACTTTTTTTTGGGGCCTTTTCAGCAAATCCAAGGCAAAGGTTAAGGGAATATTGGCGTGCTGTCCTTGGCCGCCGCTTAGACAAGCGCACCGCAGAGGAACAGGACTGGATGCGCTGCAGACTCACATGTCGTGTTTGGACGGCCTTCATTGGCTTCGGATTGTCGCGTATCCTTTCACAGCAGCTGCGTGTTTTATTCGGAGGTGAGCGCCAATATCCCGAAATTGATGCTACCGCCATCGTAATGGCGACTGCAGGGTTTTTGCTACAATTGATGCCCACCCTGCTGAATCCAAGATCGCTGGACCCATGGTATATCGTGACTTCACTGTTGCTGAATTTGACCTTTGTCCGATCTGAAATAGATGCCAGAGAAGCTTTTATTCTGCTCCACGGCCTGCAGACGATTGTCGCAACCTTGGCCAAACGCACTAGGTGCAGCATATTTTGTGCAGGCCTCACCTCTGCACAGATTCTTTGGATGAGTCAGGAGCAGGGGATCCAGTTTCTCGAAGGAGAACAACAAGGGCCTATTCTTCTGATTTTCCTCATTCCCATTGTTCTCATGTGCCCTGGATTTGCTGAGTCCATGCTGTTTTCTCCCAAACTTCGGAAGCTGGGGGAGTTTACATTGAATGTTTGTATATGTTTAAATCATGTTTCAATTTAGCCTTTTTCTTAGATGATTGCATATGTATTCAATGATTCCCCATATTCCCCGGGATCAATACTTCACTGTAAAATCCCAGGTGCAGCTTGCGGCGCTTGCTGCACGAAAACGCTGTTCTGAAGATGGACTTGCAAAGGCGGACCGTTGAGCTTGGCGCCATATCTTCCTTGCTCTTAGAGCCTCGGTGTTTTGCGGCGATCCGGGGGGTCCTCAGTTTGGTACCGGTTTCACCTCGCCAATGGAACCAGACTGGATTGAAGCCTTAATGATATCAGCAGTTGGCTAATTCCGAAGGCTTGGCATTGGGCACTATTTTTGCTGAAGTATGTTGAAGTCAACTTATGAGATTTGCCTGTGCAATGCAGGCACATATATATATATATAATAAAACACACACGCATATATATATATATGTATGAATAACATAAATATATATATATAGAATACATTGTGTTTAAGCGAGAGAGATGGCATATACCTGCACATATTGACATACACACGCACGTTTCTACTACAGAATGTAACTAACACACACACACACATCTCAACTTGCGGTACTCATACAGACAGTGTGAAAAAAGATGAGGTTTGCTACGATGCAGTGGTCCCCGCGGACGAAACCTTGACCTTGATGGAGGATTCACCACAGCTTTCCGGGTTGTTGCTGCGCACGTTCGGCGGCTTGTCGGGAAAGTCCCTCTTGGATTTTTGTTCCAAAGATGACCATGACCGCATCCTGGAGCATTTCGAGAGCTCTCTCGCGAAAGGCGCCCCCGTCATGGCATTGCACGTGGACATGCTGGATTCGGACCAAAACCATTTGAAAGTTGAGCTTCTACATGCCCGGTTCACCAACTTATCCAATGAGAGGTGCTTCTTGATCGGCGTGCGGGAGATGCAGTTTTTGGACGCCGGACCCGCTCCATTGGAGCAGTCGAGCTTCCAGCATCTTCGGCCACCGGTCGAAGCAGTTAAAGTCCATGATTTGATGCTGACCTTTGATGTCCCAACTTTTGAAATCTTAAGCCTCAGCTCATCATTGGAAGGACTCTGTCAGCAAATGGCCATGGAGAAAGTGGACACTTCATGCAATTTCAGCATATTTCAGCATTTTGTTACTATTATCATTCTGAGTGATGTCTATATACAGTGGTGTATTGTTAGGTGTTTACTATTGTTTAACGTGTTACTTATACTTATCAGTCTTGGTTATTTATTTTATTAAATGTTATGTTTTGTTAGTTGGCTATTGATGATTATCATGATTTTGTTGCGTGTGTGCATTTTGTTATCATGATTTTGTTGCGTGGATGTATTTTGTAATATGCATATATACGCATGGCATACACACACACACGTGTATATAATATATATACATATATATATATACACATACATATTGTTCATTATTCTTCTTTTAGGTCAGTGTTCGATCAGCCATAATTGAACAAGAAATTTTTGGGGTCGACATCACCGACCAGGAAAGCATATTGGATATTTCAAGCGCTCAGGGCCGCAGTTCCTTCAATGTCGACTTGCAAGATTTACTGAACGAGATCACACATAGTCCCAGGGAGAGACCTGGAATTGCTGAGTCAATGATTTGTTGTTTTCCCATGGGTCAATCCACCAAAAATCATATCTATACTTGTCTATTAATACCATATATAATTAACCCACCCAAAAAAGAACAATATAGACATTGGTCAATACACAAAAAATACTGCTGATCGTTTTTGGCCCGTGGACTAGCAAATCCAAGGAGAGGTGTAGATAACACTTTGTGGTTCAACCTGCTGGGTTTGGGCAATGTCATCGCATCCATGGTCATCGAGCATGATGAACTCCTGGACACTTTTGTGGGCACGATGCAGATCCATGGGCCCTTAGAATTGCAACGTTTTCAACGTGTTGAAGCCACAGCATCAGAGACATTGACCGAGGCAAATGTACAGCAGTTGGAACAACCACGGATCCATCGACCACCGACGACCACTGTTCGGTCGCTCCGATCGAGTCGTAGCAGTCGTAGCCGCCCAGTGCCCTCCCAGCGGAGCGCGTCGCATCGCTCGCAGTCGCACGGCTCGCCACGCTTTCCCGCACGTCCCATCCGGCTGTGAGGTGCTGGCGCAGTCGAAGGACGTCAACGTGTCACCAAAAAGTGGCTTTTTTGTTGCTGCCCTGCTGTGGAATGCCATCAAAAACGATCAAAAACTGATAGACTAAGTTACTGAAGATCTAGTATTGAGGTCACCCCTATCTACACTTCATAGTTGCAACCATATATTAAATAACATTAAATAACACTATGACAGTAATTGCAGTGTAATAATTAGTACTAACGTGTCGCACTATGTTGGTGACGCTTAAAACTTTTGGGAATTTGTTACAACATATTGAAACATGTTGTCATTGTCACGGCATGGCTCTGTGCTACTTTGGACTTTTGGTGCTTCTTGCTGGTATTTCTACTTGCACTTGGCATCAGGGCCACAATTCTCAACATGCGCCAGGTGAGTTCCCTGACTGGTGCCACCCCAACCTCTATCGCGTCTTGGGGATTCGTTGCGACTTTCCCGCAGCTGAAGATGGAGATGAGCTGAAAAGGGCATACAAACGTCGCAGCCTGCAGTTTCACCCGGACAAACCTGGAGGCTGGGAAGCACTGCGAGCACTTTCCCCAGATCCAGCTGCATATTTTCTAATTGAGCAGTTGAAATTCTGAAAAGTTAAAACATATGTCCAGTTCAATCCCCTCTGATATTAAACACCCCCCGAAATTATGGTTCAATAGGAGATGAAATCAGAACAATTTGGGGGACCATGTAATGAGGATTTTTCGGGGCATGGGATTCTTCGATTCCTGGGGAAACCCCCGGGACAGCGACACAGGTTCTGCTGTGGCCTTTCAGCGGATCGCGGATGCTCACCATGTCCTTCTTGACCCTGAGAAGCGGAAGGCATTTGATGAAGGCAAAGGAATCCCTGGGATCCCAACATCCAACGATTCTCATTTTGCGGGAAATCAAGTCGTTTTCCAAAAGGGGCTTGTTTTTGCTGTTTTTGTTTGGGATAAGAATTATACCATTTTTTCAAGAAACACTCAAATCATCATTCATCATCCTAAATCCAAATCATCCATCCCTATTTGAGATGATGATCCCCAATTCCCAATTGGTCATATGGATACAATGTGCAGCTTGCTATGGTTGCAGGATGAAGCAGGATGAAGGCCATCATCATCATCATCATCATCATGATCATCATCATCATCATCACCATATCACCATATCACCATATCACCATATCACCATATCACCATATCACCATCATCGCGTATCTTACTTTCAGATCATATCACTTGAGATACAATTGCGGAATGTTGGGTGGTTTCTGACAAGGAGTCATCAGTCCAAAAGGGCAGTAAACATTATGACATTGTCCGCCAGCACAGGTGCAGATTTTCCAAGGAAGGTGGAGCAAGATGGTTCAGAAGGGGAGACGCAGAAGGAAGAAGTGGAGAAGAAATACTTCCCAGATTTTGGGCACAGATCAGGTCACAAGTCTTGTTTTGCAAGCTGCATTTGCGCTGGGAGGTAGCATCGTTCTGATGAGAAACTCATGCAGTTGGGACGTCGTATGCATGTAATACGACTTTAGCGTTCGGATGTGCTGGATAGAGTGAAAGAGAAGGATAGAAAACGCTTGTCCTGGCGGTTGAAGCCAAAGAAACAGCCAGCGATGGTCATTTCTCAGTAGCCACTTCCCAGGAAAACTTTGACTTTCAACCCTTCGGAGATCCTCAATCGGATCGCCGGGAGGCCGACATACCTTGACAGGGCTGCAGTGACGGGGTTGTGGGATGTTTTGGGAGCCGACCTTGAGCAGAAACAGCAGATCGTCGCATTGTTTGAAGTAAACATATGATGCTCCCAACCGAGGGGTGGGTGAATGTCCCAACAACTTCAAAAACTTGAGTAATTGCTATCTGCCAGGTGGTCGACAGACCACCTCTGAAATCCTCTGAAATCATTGGCTGGTCAGTATATCCCAGCCTTTGATCCAACCTGATGCCTTGGTTCCAAGACATGAAGCAGCAGCTGAAGGCAAACATCCACATTTGTCGCATGTGGCACGAGGGGTTGGAGGTCAGACAATTGACATTCATTTTCTCTGTTTTTCTGTATGGATCCCGGAATGTGCTCTTGTGTTGTGGCATTGCTTGTCCAGGTTCATCCTGCTGCGGAAGACATTGATATAGTTTCTACACCAAAACACCTGTTCTCTTTGGGGAATACTTTAAAATGAATATAAGAACCAAAAAAATAGATCCTTACATTGGGGCTGAACATGAACCGAGGAAAATCGGGGAAATATGACTGCGGGAAAACCATGGAAAACCTCTAGATTCCATCGCTTAAATCCTAGCTTTCGGGTTGACCATGGACCAAATTTGGGCATATTTGGGTTGCAGGAAATACCCACGGCACCCCATGCGAGGCAAAGGCTCGGCAGGAAAGACAGCTGGAACAAAGACGGCAAGAGGCCTTGGCTCGGGAAGAGCCTTGGAAGCGTGACCGGGGTGGTTGGGAGGGTTAGTCGCTTGGTTGTAATGATATCAAATCTATTTCTATAAATGGACCACACACTTTAGAATCCAGGTGCATCATAGTGTGCTATAATATTAGATTCAGGTGATGACACGGTGACACGGACTGTATACACACATCACCAGCCCATGATCCAGCATGATTATGGCTCATGGACAATCATGGGTCAGGATTCCAAGAACTTTGTCCCCCAACTTGCCCACGGCTGCCAGATCATGAGTAGTCTGGGCGTCCTGCCCACCCTAGAAGTGACTGACTGCGGATGGAATTCTCATGGAGTCTCTTTCCCAGCAACACCTCCATGAAAACGGACACTTAAGTATCCCAAAGAGCCTCACTGTGGGCCATTCGCATGCGTTTGATCCAACCGGCCCCCCGAGGCTCATCAAACCAAAAGGACAGACCTGTAGAGGCGGAACCGCCACGAGACGCTGACGTTCCAAAATAGTTGGGACTGCAGTAGTCGGCAATGGAAAATTGTAAAATCACACGCTAAAGAGAGTGATGCCAGAGAAATTCTGATTTCCCATTGTTGCTGGCCTGCCTTAGGCTAATTAGGTCATTTGTTTCCGGGAGTTCCCCGACCGCCGCAGCACAGCGATGCACTGTGCAGTGAAAATCATCAGATTGCCACGCCGAGGGGTTAAGCTGGAACCTGCCGTAGCACTTTTCTGAAGTTGCTGAACAATGTTGAAGAAGGAATTCTATTTTGCTAAAGGGATTTCAATAACATGCCCGGATCGTGATTTTGACATATCACGAGAAGCCCATGACCGGAGATGGTTGATTTTGCAAGGCTTCCGTGTAGAAACCATTGGAGGCACACGACGGCGCGACTTGGATCAGCTGATATGGGCAGCGCGTGTTGTTGCCATCATTCGCCGATTGTTGCCAGATTCTTGTTTTATGTTGTTTTCATTTCATCCTCCGCCAATCATTGGTTGAAATATGGTTGAAATACCGCCCAGTATGTTGAAATTCAATCTCCACTATTGTCCTTGAACTTCCAATTTGGACAGCGCCATGTGATCCAGCATGGCCAGAGCCTGGAAGCGGCTGCGCCATGAAGTCCTTCAGGACATCTGCGGTCAGCCACCCGTCATCCCCCAACTGTCGCTGCTGCAACGCCCCAAGTCGGCCATGGACCGCTTGGACGCGACCGAAGCGGCCCTGAGGGCCGGAGCCGTTAAAGGGGCCTTCGAAGAGGCGAAGCTGGCGTCACTGCTGGATTTGAAAGGCCAACACCTCGACGCTCAGGACATCTTGAAACGATGTGCCGCCATGGGAACGACCGAAGAACGTGCGGCCATGGGCCTTTTGGAACATTTGGTGCATCGCCATGTCTGTTGGCAAGAAGAGCGAGAGAAGATTTCCAAAACCACCAGTCGAGGTGATGAAGCGAAGCAAACAGTTAAACCAGTTGAGGTTTTATCGGCGCAGGTGTCTCGTGAAGAGGTTTGGCGTCGATTCATCGAGCCGGGGATTCCTTGCGTTCTTCGAGGTGTGCAACTTGCTCCGTTTCGCAATCTGAGAGATGTGACCACCACGGTCGGCAAGGTCAAGGTGCCAATCCGCCGCTGTGATGAAAGTTCCGCCAATTGGGCCAGGTTGGAGTTCGATCGGGTTGTCCATTTCGACGATTTCGTGACGGAATTTATCCAGCCTTACGAACATGGCTTGGCCGCACCTCGAAACAGCCCACAGCTTTTTGATTTCTCAATCTGGCAGCAGTGTGCAGAGAGCTTGGGCAATCAACTGTTCATGCCAAGCAAATGGTTCCCAGTAGATCTGTATACCTATGCCTCTGCACAGATGCAGCCAGTCAGTGGGTCTGCCTGTCCCACCCTCTTCGTGGCTCCATGTGGGTCAGGTTCATCTTTGCACGTCGACACCTTGCAGACCAACTTTTGGATGTTCATGTCCTTGGGCCGAAAGCGATGGCGTTTAGTGAGTAAGGATCAGATTGCGTTGCTGCATCCCCAGTATTTCTGCGACCTGAATCCGGTCTTTCCAGAAGATTTGAACGTGGTGAAGCCCAACGTGACCATCTACGAAACTGAATTGGAAGCTGGAGATCTGATCTTTGTCCCAGCGGGGTGGCCTCACCAGGCGGATGGCTTCATCTGGGTGCCCAGATGATCCCACTATCGAAAACGATAAGAACAAGCAGTTTGGGATAGTTTCGGTTTCGGGTGTCATGTTCAGTTGCAAAGGGTGTAATACCATGTAATACCATGTAATACCATGTAATACCATGACCTGGACTTCTGTTCGTTTCAAGGATTGTTTCTCTTTTGAGGAAAAACTGACCGGTTCGGATCATTGTCCAAACAGCCCCTGGCAAAAACTACTGTTTGTAACAATTTGACGCAAAAACTCGTTTGATATGCGTCTTGTGGACGATTTTGGTACACATGTTGGTTCTACAGCAGAGTCTGATTCTTATTCCACACTTTTCCCAATTCAATCCGTTTCACCAAAATCATACGAAACTGCCAAAAATGCAAAGGAGCTGTTTCGTATCAAATGAAGGCCCAGGTAATGATGATTAATTGATGATGATGACTGACATTCATGACATTCACTGACACTGACTGTTTCTCCATCTATGTCGCCATCGTCTATCGTGGAGCCTATCTCCCTCTGTTCCTCTGATAGGGGATCACAGATGAGGAATAGGACTTGGTCGCATGTGAGACTCAGAACTGTGCTTTACAACCATCATTATTGTCCCTTGTGGGGAACATGAGAAGGTGGCCTTCTAGTGCCTCCTTCTTTGGTGAAACCGCCGAGAAAGGTTCACAGAGGTAAGGGTCACTGCTGCTTGAATTGCCATCCATTACAGTAGCCATTAGCTTTACAAAAATGCTGAATATCGGGCAGTAATTTCTGCTTCTTTGAGGGTTCAGGTCTGTCTCATATTTCCTATTTCCATTGTATTATATTACCTCTATTTCTCTAGCTCAGGGATTCTCACCCCGCAGGTTGATAACCTGGAGACTTCTGTGGCAATCAGTGCCAATTTCATTGACACTTCCAATGTGCACCGGTGCATTGAAGAAGCTGACATTATGGCAAGCGTCGAAGAAAATTCGGCATTTTGGGCCAAAGTCTTACGAATCTTGGCGAAGACTCTTTTCAAGTCCTTTTTCTGAAAGGATTTGGCCAACAGAAGGATGTCGACTGACATTCCCACCTCAACTGGGATGATTTCAACATTATTTTATAGTTACTCTCAAGCCTCAGACAGAAACATCATTGCCATATTTATTATTACTATATTATTACCATTGTATAATTGTTGGGACTCGCATTTTCTATCTTTTCGAGGGTCCCATTTGTACAGATTTCTTCCCTGCTGGCAGCTCCGAAGGAACTGCGCTGCAGCAGAAGAAGCCCGAGCTGTTAGCCTCCAGCGTGATGGACAACGAGCCACTGCGCCACTTCAAATCCAGGCATGGGGAGAAACGTGCGCCCTATGAGATTCAACGAAGGCCGGGTCGCATGGTTTCAGCAGATCGCGGGATGTAAGACAAGGGTTATGATTAAATTGGGACTTAATCAAGGATTTTGATCGTTAGTTTTTGTCGCACTTCCATGATGATGAGCCCAGACTGGCTTATTGGCTCATACTGAGTGATATAGTTCAGATTGATTCAGACGGCTGGAAAACCACCACCAGCCAAGTAAGACATCCACAAATTCCACAACATATCCCAGCTGTGCCCAGCATCAAGGGTTTTGTATGTGCACTCCCAGGAAGGGTGAAGTACCTCCAGGCATTGATTTCAGGATGGTATGTATATATGTTATGTAATAACCATTTCTTTCATGGTTCAAATGGGTATGGGTCAATACCTATGGGTCCATCGGCATCAGGGGATATCCAGTTTTTGGATGTTTTTGGATGTTCTTGGAGATGACTAGGCTACCAGATTTTTAATCGATTCTGAAATCAGCCACCCGCAGGCTTCTACAAGGCCTCTCGGCGACGCTCAGCATTGGTGGTCTGTGTATTCTTCTTGCTTGGTATCGAAGCACTGCCGGAGGTTCAAGTCGTCAGTCTTCTGATTTCAGGGCAAAGACCTTGTAAGTTGCAACTTCCAAAGTTGAAGTCTGTTCGTGGAGTGGAGATGAGTGGTGGTGTAATGTATAGTCTTTATATATAGTCATAGAATGTCATAGAGTACTATGTACTTGTCTCAAACTGGAGGCAGTGGTTTAGCTAACAAACTTGTTGAAATGAAGTTGTCAGTGGCATTCTGCCAATGGATCATCGGATCTGCAGTGCCGTGAAAAAGGATGAAATGTGCGTGGCCCAAGGGCTCTTAGAGCCACCAAAACGAACAAGAAGGTACAGCTAACGTTTCCCCTCAGGCCTTCTATCTAAGCATGGGATGTCATGCTGCATGCAGTTTGATTCAAGCAGACACTTGGATCTGAATTCACACCATCCCCAGCCCAAATTGGCTCGAACAGGTTGTCAGAAAAAAGGCTTGATTTGTATAGCAAGTTGCTGGTAGATTTCCATCGCAAGCATGGCCGATTCCAGAAGGAAGACCGTGCTTTGCCGCCACTTCGCGGCCGGCACCTGCCGAAGGGGCTCCTCCTGCAGCTATGCGCACGGCGAAGCAGAGCTGGCGAAGAGGAGATGAAACATGGGGATTCAGCCAACCTCCCCGAAGGTGACAACCCCCGACAGTTAGGACACCAACAACCAACAGTAAGGGCTTATCAACCATGTATTACTGGGAGGGTCACCTTTAGGGGGTTAGTTGAATTCCCGCATGCTGCGTTTTCTTTGTGACTATCTATATGTGCAGATAGCTGGAGATGATTGGAGATGGATGGATGGCCAAGTCGGTTTATAAGTACTGTAATCTAGTAGGCAAGTAACTAGATAGTGGTAGATAGAGCAGGTTCAAAGCCAGATATAGAGGTAGATAAAAGCATGTATAAAGGTGGATAGATGTATTCGTCATATAGAGGTAGAGGGAGGTAGAGAGAGAGAGAGAGAGAGGGAGAGAGGGAGAGAGGGAGAGAGGGAGAGAGGGAGAGAGGGAGAGAGGGAGAGAGGGAGAGAGAGAGAGAGAGAGAGCAGAGGATAGGTAGACAGATGGACTGGGATAGAGATAGAGATAGATAGATTGATAGAGAGAGAGAGGGAGGATGGATGGGTAGGCAGGCAAATAGATGTATAGTCAGATAGGTAGATGGGGAACATTGGGGAACGAGAGAGAGAGAGAGAGAGAGAGAAAGAGAGAGAGAGAGAGAGATGTGTGTAGAGGGAGAGATGGGATGGATAGATACACAGATAGACCGAGAGATAGAGACAGAGACGTAGAGAGATAGAGAGAGAGAGAGACAGAGACAGAAAGAATAAAGCTTAATAGGGACAGATAGAGGTAGATAGAGGTAGATAGATGTAGATAGATACAGATAGATGATATAGGTAGATAGATCGATAGACCGATAGATCGATAGAACGATAGATCGATAGAACGATAGATCGATAGAACGATAGATCGATAGACGGATAGATCAATAGATCGATAGATCGATAGATAGATCGATAGACCGATAGCTGGACGGATAAACAAGATAGATAGACAAGAAAGAAAGAAAGATAGATAAATAGATCGATCGATAGATCAATAGATCGAAAGATCGATAGATCGATAGATTCGATAGATATATAAATAGATAGATGGATGCGGAAAGAGATAGATAGATAGATAGATAGATAGAAAGAAAGATCGATAGATCGATAGATAGATAGATAAATCGATAGATCGATAGATAGATCGATAGCTGGACATATAGACCAGATAGATAGACAAGATAGATAGATAGATAGATCGATAGATCGATAGATCGATAGATCGATAGATCGATAGATAGATAGATAGATAGATAGATCGAGAGATGGATCGAGAGATAGATCGATAGATAGATAGATAGATGGATAGATGGATAGATGGATAGATAGATAAGATAGATAAGATAGATAAGATAGATAAGATAGATAAGATAGATAAGATAGATAAGATAGATAGGGTAGATAAGATAGATAAGATAGATTAGATAGATTAGATAGATTAGATAGATTAGATTAGGTTAGATTAGATTAGGTTAGATTAGATAGATTAGATAGATGAGATAGATTAGATAGATTAGATAGATTAGATAGATTAGATAGATTAGATAGATTAGATAGATTAGATAGATTAGATAGATTAGATAGATTACATAGATTAGATAGATAGATAGATAGATAGATAGATAGATACTTAGATACTTAGATAGATACAGTAGATACAGTAGATACAGTAGATACAGTAGATACAGTAGATAGATAGATAGATAGATGGATAGATAGATAGATACTTAGGTAGATAGATAGATACTTAGATAGATACAGAAGATACAGTAGATACAGTAGATACAGTAGATACAGTAGATGCAGTAGATAGATAGATAGATAGATAGATAGATAGATAGATACTTAGATAGATACAGTAGATACAGTAGATACAGTATATACAGTAGATAGATAGATAGATAGGATAGATAGGATAGATAGATAGATAGATAGATAGATACTTAGATAGATACAGTAGATACAGTAGATACAGTAGATACAGTAGATAGATAGATAGATAGATAGATTGATAGATAGATAGATTGATAGATAGATAGATAGATACTTAGATAGATACAGTAGATACAGTAGATACAGTAGATACAGTAGATAGATAGATAGATAGATAGATAGATTGATAGATAGATAGATTGATAGATAGATAGATACTTAGATAGATAGATAGATAGATAGATACTTAGATAGATAGATAGATACTTAGATAGATACAGTAGATACAGTAGATACAGTAGATAGATAGATAGATAAATAGATAGATAGATAGACAGATAGATAGATAGATAGATAGATACTTAGATAGATACAGTAGATACAGTAGATACAGTAGATACAGTAGATACAGTAGATACAGTAGATACAGTAGATAGATAGATAGATAGATAAATAGATGGATGGATGGATGGATGGATTGATCATTCGATGAATAGATAGGAGGAATCCTGAATACAGATATGCTTTTAGATATAGATATACAATATAAACGGTTATAAAAACGGCGGATGGATGCATGAATGGTTTCATGCATAGACATCTTAGTGTTTCCATGGCTTCGAAGGTGAGAGACTTTTAGCAGCACCTTCCCCGATGCGCTCAGTGAAACCAATCCACATATCCCACTGACCCTGCAGGCTCTGTGGTTATTTCCTCACACCGGGTGGCTGCAAGCAGAGCGACAGTTGCAGCTTCTCCCATGAGTTCAGTGAGGCGGAGATCCAAGCCGCAGAAACTGCAAGGGCTGAGAGATCTACTGATGCCAAGGGAAAGCGCATCTGCAGGTTCTTCTTGGACGGGCGATGCAACAAAGGATCGGTGGACCGGAAGATTGGGGTGGTTTCATGAGGGAAAACAATGGAAAACACGGATCAACATGCAGACTGCACCAGGACCATTTGCCCCAACAAGATGCTAAAAGATGTGTGAGATCTAGTGTCAAAAGGTGCAGTTTGCAAGTAGGTCCCCATTGTCTGTCGCGTGTCTTGGACATCAGGCTGTTTCCCTGTGAAGGCTCGTCGTGCACTTTTTCCCACGACGGTGAAGAAGAGAAAACTGATGAGGCCCCCACAGCTGCTGGTGATGATGTCGCATCAGATCCTGAATCAGGCCAGGGATGGTAAATGGATGTGTCTGAAACTGAGGGATACCCCAAAAATAGTTATTCAAGGGTGAAAATGGTGTTTCACCAGCAAAATTGTGGGTAACCTAATTATATTGTAAGACAAACCCAAATGTTTTGAAGTTTGCTGGATGTCAATGGTTTTCAACATTTTCAACCATGTTAGCTATCACCCAAGTGGGTGCTGCAGGAGATATCCCCGACAGTCCTGAAGTGGTGCCGGCAGCAGCTGATGGTGCAAAGTCCATAATGAAAGCGAAGGTGACCCGAGTCCATGAGGAAAAGAGCCTGGTGCATCTACTGACGGATGTAGGTGACTCTCGTGTGGTGAACCTGAAATCCTTTACAGAACTTTGGCCCATGCCACCTTTGTGTCTTGGATTTTGCTGAGTTGATGTGAGATTTTTCATGATTTTCCCATATTTTCCCATTAGTTCATCCGGCATTCTACTGGGGAATCTACTAACATGTTTGCCGCTGGCCTTCTCACCATCCAAGGTGCGGTGATCGCATCTCCTTCCCTCCGCCAGCTGGTGGTCCCACGTCACGATGGATCCTCCCAACCTTGGAAGCCATGGCCTCCAGCGACGGTTCCAACGGTTCCCTGGACTTGGCCTCGAACTTCCTGAAGTCCATACAGCTTGGCTATGAAGAGCAAGGTTCCAATGTTTTGATGAGGAGATCCATAGAAAAAAATACCATTCCCATCCATTCCCGGTATTTCAACACTTTGCGAACTGGTAAAAGGTGGCCCGTTGATAGATGATTTACCGAAAAAAACAACAACAACTGATTTTCTATATTTTATAGGTATGTTAAATTACCAGAGGGTAGGAGATGATATTAATGAGATGAAACGTATTAGGTAGTAATGCTACGATGGTAACCCGGTAACCACGCCTTTATTTTCTGGATGAGAATTGGACAAATATGAATAAGATGAGGCACATTGCCATATCGATGCAAACAGACCCACAGCTGATGCATGTACAGATGGATGGACGGACAGACAGACAGATAGATAGATAGATGATAAGGATACAGTATACTTATTCACACATCCCATTGCCAATATTCATCCAGACATGCACACATGACAGATGTACATCTTCAGTATGGGCAGCACCTTGGAGGAGTGACATGTATTGCCAGCCCTACCTGGCTCTCTTGTTGGGCACCAAATTGGCTCGCAACGCCAAGTCCGTGTCCCTGGCGACGCAAGGCAGCAAAATGACGGAAAGTAAGGCATAATCGGACGACAAAAACTATAGGTTGGATATGGCTGGATCATGAACCCCGCAATTCTATGCGATTCAGCAGCAATTGTTGACAGCAATATCGAAGTACGTGAGACGAGAGATCCCAAAATGTTCGCGCCAAGCACCCGGTGTCTGAACCCCATTTCTCCCACACTTGCACATCTTGCAGTTGAACATCTTGCAATTGAACATCGCGTGCTGCACGCACCTCCTATTCTCCCTAGATGGCACCAGCCGTTTTTCCATGTTTTTCCCATGTGAGGAAGCGGCTTCTGGACTTCCTTCAAGGCATCCTTCCAGCTTGCCGTGGACATGGCAGTTCAGCCAGTGAACCAGGAGGAGGTTTCCTAAAATGGGGGTACCTTCAAATCATCCAAGTCATTAGACTACCATTTTAGACAATTTTTTGCACTAAAACCCATGATTTTGGGGATCCACCATTTTAAGAAACCACCAGGACTACTTCTGAAAATCCTTCAGTCACGTCTGTGGCAACGTGAAACGCCAAAGCTCTTCCAATACGATGGCATCGATGGTTTTGGTGAAGCTTGGCATCCAAAATATTTGTTGAGAGGGTTGATTGGAGATTATATGGGTATGGATCAATACCTATAGATACATTTTTAGTGGGATGAACATCCATTTAGCAGCTATTTTGGGGTTCACTATAGGTACCAGGGTTTTGACCCATCCCCATATAATGCCTCTTTACTATTTCTTTACTGGCTTGTGGCAGTCCTGATTCTTGCGAGTCTTGTTGTCAACCGTTTCATTGTGCACGGGTGGCTCTCAGGATGGTAGCGAAAGGAGCCTAAGAGATTCGGCGACAAGCGTTGTCAATCAGATGTTGCAAGTGGTTCCTCGCTATGCGTACTTAGTGACGCCGGGCATGCAGATGATTCTGTCGCGGATGTCATTTCTGATCTTTTGCAATGGATATTTCAACAACCCTAGATTCTAGATATGCCGGGGGTCAGCATTTTTCCACGTGCTTGGATGTTTTTTTTTCTTTAAAAAAAATCGTTACGCCACTCACCACTTCCTCAGGAAGCCTGTGCTGCTAGCCATGATGAAACCACAAGAGAGTATTCTGCAGTTGCTGAATGCCATGAGCGATCGCCTGGCTTTGGAAGATGGTTTCTTCCAATGCGCCACATCTTGGCGGCAGCTACCATTGGTGCCACAGATTCTGTCAGAAGACTTGTCTGACTTACAAGATTTGCCAGAGGTGGCATGGATGTATGATACTGGCTGGTGCTTTCAGAGAGTTTTTTTGCATGTTTTGCAGGTTGAACATCCCCTTTTGATGCCTTTTGTTGTTGACAGGGTTGGTCCTTTTCAGTACAGGTAGTTCCCCTACATTCTGCCGTAGATTTTCATGGGGGTCCTCCAACTCTTCCAGTGTGGATGAATGCAACCACCGACCAGGATGGCGTTTCAGACTACTTGGATACTTATTTCCGTCTCCTGCGTGCCGACTGCTTCGCTCCCTTGCAAAAGGGCATCCGTGACTTCTTAAACGGCAGCCTGGATCCCCGGGACATGCGGCTGTTCCGGGCTTCGGCCCAGCAGTTCCACCTGGTGCGAGGATCCAAGGGTTTGGTGGCTTCAATGGAGTGTAGCAACATCTTCAACTATGCCGTGCCATTTCCGGCGCGTGTTCTCATGCCCAGTAACCTGGTCTGTTTGTCCATCAGCGAGGCGCCCTTCGCGGAAGTGCTTTGGGGTCGAGTTGCAGAAAGACCTTCGGATCGAGCGGCGCAGAAGAAAGAGACCATGGTTGCTGGCTCTGGGTGTTTGAGACGTGTTCATTATTTGATTTATTTGCGTGGTTTGCAGTTCATGTGTAGAATTATCATATTAAGGTGATGCGCACACACATGGAACACAGTCGAATGTGTTCTAAATAGGATTGATAGAAGTCTACATGCTTAGTGTAAAAGTCCACATGCACACAATTTCTTGATCTAACAACCTCAAATCCCTACTGGGATGATCCTCGCTTGACATCAGGTCCTGCACCAGACTGAAGTGATCGGAAAAGTATTTCTTTCATATGACTTTATATTATTTTATATGTTATCCACTTTCTTGATGGCGATGTCGTTTTCCCATCATCTCTTGTTTCCCCAATATTGTTTACATGACCGACTGGACGAGGTTGTGACCATCGAGTTCCTGGATGATTTGAACCGCATTGACCGCAGCAGTTTCATTTCGTGTCTGTTGGCACCTCCGCCTCCTAGATTTGCTGAGTCAATTTAATTACATGTGTTTCCAGGTTTTTCCGTTGGTGCATGTGCCCAAAAAAATGGACCGACTGGGAATTCTATAATATACCTAGAAAACTCAGCTATGCGAATTTGTAGGCATGGGCTGATTTTCAGCTAAAAAACGTAATTTCCAGGCCAAAAACGTCCTCACGAGTGAACAAAGTAATTTTATGTAATTTTCAGTTTTCAATGTTGTGGTGAGCAGCCCGTGCTGATCCCACAAAGAGCTGGAAATTTCTGCAATTTTTCCGCTGGTTTCCGCCATTTCGACGCAAATTTCCGCCATTGTTTTGCACAGTCTTTGGGGCCTAAAACGGATTGTTGCAAGTAACAAGAGTCCCGTGGGTAATTTACGGAGTTCAATCAGGTTTGCACGTGGCAAATGCCCCTTCAACCCAGGTTTCCTTGCACAATGAACCCTGGTATACCCACAGGGTGCAAGTTTAACGCGCACATGACACAATTCCAATAATTTTCTCAAAAAATAGAAACACGTAATTTTTGTGCAGTTGTCCACCAAAAAAGGCATCGTTTGAAAAAACACAGTTTTTCGTGAAATGACTAAAATTTATTAACATGTTGCACACTTGCGGTTTACCAGGTAATGATTAGTTTTATGTTTGATGATTCTTATGGCCGACATGGGCCCGATGGGCCCGACGGGCCCGATGGGCCCGATGGGCCCGAAGATCTGCAACATCTAAGGCCCGGAGGGTTGATTTTGGCCGAGAGTCCTGTTTTCTTCCTCTCGTTTGGTCCAGTCTTGCGACGTCTACAGGGCCTCACAGCTGGAGATCATGGGACGCTGCCACTGGCCTCGTGTTTGCTTGGAAAAGCCATGAGTGCAGAGGATGCACGGCAACCCCTTCCATGGAGCCTGGGTGGTATCATTTCAAATTTGAAGATTTTGTTACATCCCCACCTGGGACCTTCCACAGAGTTTGCTTGTTCCATCTTATTCTGGCTGGTGGTGGGATGCGGTGGGTAGTTTCACAAGTAGATAATTCTTCTTTCCCACTTGGTTATTTGCAGATGGAGTTGAGATCACCAACCAGGAGTGACTTTGCGATGGACTCCTTAGGCCGTGCGATTGAGTCCGGTCAGCGCGTCTTCGACGACTCGCAACGGACGGCCTTGGAGGTGATCTTGACCTCCACCTTGTCAACAATTCAAGGACAAGGTCTCGGTACTTCGTATTGAGATACATGAAGAATCATGGAATGCCCTCAAATGTCTATGAGTCAACACCCTGGTGCGCGGACGGCTAATGGATGTTTATTCCCCAAAAAATGGCGTCAATGGGTTTTGACCCCAACTTTGGGATCCCATCCTTTGAGATCTCACTTTGTATATCTGGATGATTCTGGATGGTGAAACTTGGAGAGGCCACGTGGACAGTGCTATCGGGTGCCACCATGCCTTTCAGGACCTCCGGGGACTGGGAAGAGCTTCACTGGGGTAGAGGCGATCCGACACCTGCTGACGGTCCCAAGCTACTTGCTGTGTGGCGTGGAGCCGGAGGAGCTGCGGGGAGGCCGTGGGGCACGGAGCCTGTAGCACGGCTGCACCATGCAGTGCTTGGATTTTTGCCAGTTTTGCGATGTTTTGCGTTTTTTTTGGTGAGAGAATTGTGCTGAAGATAGTTCAGTTGATGACTTGAGGATGTTTTCTTACCGTTTCTTCCCAGTTTTCTGAAGGTTCTGCTTCTTAGACCAGATGCTGGGGATGGGCGAGTCATAACATGCTGGGATATGTCGGGCATGCTAAGGTTTGATTCCGATGGATCATCTGATGAGAGCTCGAGGGAGGAGGATCTGCATGATCTGTTGCACAGGCCTCTCTGACCTGTGGGAAAGCCATTAACTTCTACATGTGGACATTGGGATATCCTATGGACATCCTAGATCCCAAGACAGATGCGGCAAGATGTGTGAGCAGTGGATGAAGCGGAAAAGTCCTCACTGGAATTAGGCAGGCTGCAAAGCTTCATTCAATTAATTATAATAATTATTGGCATTGGGATTCTCTGAAACCTTCCCATCTTAGCACTCTGGCAGCCAGGCCTTTCGAGAAGAAGATGAGAATTCTCGTCTTGACTTTCAAAAACCATGCCCTGGATGAGTTTCTCCTGGATTGTCGCAAGCATTGTCCAGATGCAGACATCGTTCGCATAGGTGGGCAGGGTTTTGGGGCAACATGGGCATGTCCAAAAAGTGCGGGGCTGCAGTAGAACCCCAATCATGAACTCCCCCAAAATTATTTCAGCTACACATGCGACAGCTTTGGACCTTGGTGATACTTTGGTGTTTGCGCAAGATTATGCGTGAAACTTGGTTCGTGATTCACTTAGGTGGTCGGTCTGAGAGTGAGCAGCTCAAGGCTTTGAACCTTCAAGCGAGGGCCAAAGAGAAGAGCAAAGGTCACGAGACTGGAAAGATGCTACGAAGCTTGGCCTTGATGAAACATGGATAGCACGGTCAAGCTGATGAATGGGATTCCGATGATGATGCTGATGCTGATGAATGCTGATGAATGCTGCTGCTGCTGCTGATGATGATGATGATGATGATGATGCTGACGATGACGCTGACGATGACGATGCAGATTACATAGTATAGAATAGTATAGACGTATGTGATTGTATGATGGATGTCAAGGCTACTCCAAGAAGTCAAATGATGCTCGTACCTTGGAACCGTTGATCCTTTGAGATTGTATCAAACTTTACCAGAAATGAGACGCATTCAGTTCAACAATGTTCAACATCCATTTCAAAATCCATCAGTCAACCAGTGCTTTTTCAGATGCTTGAAGTATATGTTGCGTTGCGCATGGCTCCAGACTTTGTCATCTGAGGGTCCTTGATTGAACGGAAGAATGCTCTCAAACCACAAATCCAGAGGGCACTGGATGGGCTTTCAGAGACTTGCTTGGCTATGTTTGCCAGTGTTTTTGCCAATGTTTCGTGCTTGTAACATTGTGATTCCACACGCTTGCACCTGGTTTTGAGCTGAAAAAAGGGACGCTACATGAAGCTACAACATGCTACAACTACACAGCACAATGAAGAAATCATCGTGTGTGTGTGTGTGTCTCTTGAGGAGAAGTTAGACCCCTTTCAACTATTTTGGCAGCACGCTCCGATGGAACAGAAACTGTCTCTATTGGATGGATGTCCCTTGGCTTGTGGGAGTCGCCCAGCGTTTCAGAAGCAGCGTCACCTACAACACCATGAGCAGATCCGGGACAGAGTCGGCGCACAATTGTTTATTGTGAGAAGTGATTTTCGGAAATCATGCGGCACCAGAGTCCCATTCTATCATTCTGGCCTCTCCAAATGCAAAGCACACAATTTCAAACACGGAAAATGACTCGAAGAATCTCGATGCATGTCAAACCCAATTGATTCACTTTTTTGGATTGTGATCAGTGTGGTTTTGATTTCAGTTTGGTTCACCATAGGATTTTGTTTCTTAAAAAGTATCACTATCACCCACTTTTGGACACACCCCTGAAGGAGAGCATCCTCTTGGGCGAGACCTTTGCGCCGGACGAGTTTCGCAGCTGCTTCCGTCGCTGGTGTCCGTCGGCCATGTCCCCCCGGCCGGGAGGGGGACGGGCAGATGCCAAGTCAGCGAAAGGAAAAGGAAAGGAAGCGGAGATCAGCGATGAAGAAGCAGAGGACTGGGTAAACTTTGCTGAAATGGTTGGCTTAACTTTTTTCTGGTCATAGTTACTTAGTTCCAATATCCATCCGGAATTATTTCATATCCAGCTGGACTTATAGTTCCATGTTTGTCAGGGTACCAAAGATCATTCATCAGGAGGAAGTCAAAGAACGGCAAGCTTTCCAAGAGCGACTGGAGAAGTTGTGCACTTGGAGCGCAGAAAATTTAAAAGATGTCCTGGTCTATTCGCCAGGCACAGTTTCCAACCAGAGATCTGCCACTGGCGTTGCTGGCGGCCTTTCCTATGTTGAGAAGCTTTGGGAGTTGGACGAGCACAGCCGTGCGCGAATTTTGGGCATTTGCCTTCGGAATGAGACCAGCACATCATGGCCAGTGGTAGAGTCCTTGTGCCAGGAAAATGATGACCTACAGGCTCGGATCAATGAACTGGAAAGGTGCCACTTAGCTTCTGTTCTCCAACAAGCTGACGTTGTAGGCTGCACTATTAGTGGGGCATCTATCAGGTGCGATTTGCTGGCAGATGTGAACTTTCCGGTGGTGGTAGTAGAGGAAGCCGCAGAAATTTTGGAGCCACAGTTGCTGGCAGCTTTGCCGCCATCCTGCAAACAGCTTGTTCTGATCGGTGATCATTTTCAGCTTCGCCCGAAGATACAAACTTTCCAGCTGGGCCGTGAGCGAAACTTTGATCGATCCATGATTGAGCGGCTCTTTGCAGGAGAGGCAAACTATCCCAAGGCAGCTTTGAAGAAGCAGAACCGGATGAGAGACGAGTTCCTTTGCTTGCTCAGGCCATTTTACCCCAAACTTCTGACAAACCATGAGCGTGTCATGGGAAACGATCCCCTGAGCATTTGTCGGAAGTCGATGTTCTTTGTGACAATGAGGGAACATTCCGAAGTGGAGGCCGCAGAGAGGCGTAGTCCAACAAATCCACGAGAAGCCAAGATGATCTTGGACTTCACCAAGCACATCCTTCGAGAAGGCTATGAACCTCAAGAGATCTCAATCTTGGCAATGTATGATGGTCAGGTTTCATTGCTGCGAAATCACCTGAGGAATGAAGGATTGGAACAAGTTCAATGCTCTTCAGTGGACAGGTACCAAGGAGATGAAAACCGCTTCGTGTTGATTTCCTTGGTGCGTTCCAACGATCAGTTGAAACTTGGCTTCGTGGGCGAGAGGAATCGTCTCATTGTCGCGATGTCACGGGCTCGCTGTGGTGTGTACATCTTTGGCAATGATCAGCTAATGCAGGAGAAATCCAAAGAGTGGAAACTGGTCCCCTGGAGTTGTTGAGGATTTTGATGAAGCCAGTTTTTGTGATTTTCGTTTGTAATTCGCCAAAGGCTTCCCTGGGGCCCATCCTGAATCTGCATGAAAACGGACACCTCCTTGGCAAAGTTTGCTTATGCACCAAAGGTACTCAATGCGCTGGAGGAAGAAGGTTGTGTTGGCGCAAAGCTTCCACTGATGTGCCCGCGACACGTGGAACTTGACTTGGAAGTCGGCCAGCAATGCCACCATGTTTGCAATGCTGTCCTCCCCTGCGGCCATTCCTGCCGTCAGCCTTGTCATAGGGAAGGGCATCATCCAGACTGTGATCAAGAGGTGCTTGTCACCCTGCCTTGTGGCCATGAGCGTTCCTGCAAGTGTTCCGAGAAGGAAGGTGCCTCCGAGAAGTTGAAATGTTCAAAGCTGGTGGACTTTCGCCATGACGTTTGCCAGCATCCTGATACCAGGAAGTGCTGGGATAAGAAAAACGGTGTGAAACCCAGGTGATGATGTGCTGCGACAGGTGCAGGGAGGAGAGTCAGGTTCCTTGCTACATCAAGAAGGACAGCCCGGAGAATTTCAAGTGTAGCAAGCCTTGCACCAGAAAGATGAGTTGCACCTTGGCTCCCGGCAATTCCCGGCATACTGTACCCCCCAAAATGATCCAAAATTGCCATTTGAACTTGTCGTGAATATGATGATTGGCTGGTGGATTTGAGGCATACCGTACCAAGAGTTGGGTGTGGGTCAAAATCACGGCACCCTGGAACTGGGATGGCAATTTCCAAGGTACGGTAGAGAGGGAATGGCGCAGGAGAGTGAGAGAGAGGTAGAGAAACACATGGAGAGAGATGGAGACTGTGGACCTTACAGGTATATTATATATATTTAATATATATAATATATATATAATATATTATATATATATTATATTATATATATTATATTATACTATATATATTATATTATAATATTATACATAAATATACACAATCCCGGAAGTCCATGGCTCCAGGTCCTTAGACATGCTGAGCTGACATCTTTGATGATAGCTAGTTGGAACTTTCTAGGGCGCTTTAGTCTTTTGGAATTATATTGCAGGTCCGGACTTTTATTACCGGGAAAGCATGGGAAAGCACTTTGTTCAAATGGCGCCTCACTAAATGCAAGACTGAGGCTCTACAGCATGCAGTATGCATGTAAAACATCATTCCTAGATTTCAGATATATTTTCCCATTGCCACGTTTCCAAACATCTAATCTCTGAAGGTGAACCCTTAGATTTCCAGCCAGGGTCGTCGCAAGGCCACCACTCATGCAGCTTGCAGTGCTATGATGATTGCGACAAAGGGCTGGACGACTGCCAGCTGTGTCAGGCAGATCCTCGGAGTTTTTCATGGCGTGGTTGGTTTTCGCAACTGCCACTTGGGATTCCCCCGAAAAGAGGAGAAACCTGCGAATCGCCATATATATCGCCATGAAAATTCTGGGAATCGGAATCGATTTTTCGATTTCTCTTGGGACTCCTCTGAAAACACTTTAACAGTAAAGCAGCTTGAGTGAACCACATGAAGGAGATGCGTGATGAAGTAATCCATTCAGCATGTGCAGCCGAGGAAAGAGAGAAGGTGAAGGAACAGAAGCTGGAAGAAATCCAGAAGGCGAGCAGTTTCCACCTGCAAAAAATGCGCAAGAACTAACTTTAGCATACTTTAGCACTTTTTTGAAATGGTCGTTCAGGTGTTAGTGTTATGAAAGTATACTTAGAGCAAAAAGAATGCAAAAAGAGAGCTGGTTTCTGGAAAGTGGCAGTGGGATCAGTGGGGATGCAGGCGAGATGGTTTCAGCGTCCAGTTTCGATGCAGGCATTGGCGGAGATGGACGCCCCCGACTTCACAAGTTTTGACGAGATTCAGCTTGACGGTTCAAGGGCCTCTTGGGTTTAAATATGTCGATTTGTTCCTCAGCCGTGATTTTCCATCAAGAACGACACATCCAACCACTCGTGCTGTGGATAGTTCCAAGTTCCAAGCCCTATGGCCTATCTCATTTATTCTTATTTTCTGTCATGATTTTGATGGAAGAGCTGAGGAACACATGGAAGTCCAACAGCATTTGCAGGCTTATTTCCCAGAAGCCAACTGGAAAGTGACGCTCCAGCAGTGCCATCGGGTGAAGAACAACCCCTTGCACAAGAGGCCTGCCAAGCAGGGTTTTTGTTTTGAGTTTGTTTTTTGCGGTCTGCAGGTCCAATTTTGTCCAAACATAAAGACCTGAATGTCATGCTGTGTGTATCTTGAGACAAAAACAGACAAAGTATTGAAGTTCATGATGTAAAAATGATCAGATGAGCAGTTTCGTCTTGCACACATGTGCTTCGTGTTTGCGATGCCTGTGCGGAACTGAAGCTTCTCCTTCTTAGGACTTTGGTGCACAAAGCACAAAGTGCATCTTACATTCATTCAGCTGCCTCCGCGTCCTGCTCTGCATCACCGTCACCACCTGTCATCGAAGAATGCTGACTATGACAATCATGACCGAAATGATCAACACAATCACAATCACAATCACAATCACAACCACAAAGACAATGACAATGACAATGGCAATCACCATCATCACCATCATCATCATCACCATCATCACCATCATGATCATCATCATCATCATCATCATCATCATCACCATCACCATCATCATCATCATCACCATCATCATCATCATCATCATCATTTTCTTCTTTGTATTCATCAGCCTCAGCATCATCATCATCATCAGCAGCAGCATCATCACCATCATCACCATCATCATCATCATCATCATCATTATTCAAATGCATGTCTGAATTGACACGGCATCGGCGCCATTTGGCGTCCACTACCTCACAGGTTCTTACAACGGCACCGGTTCATCAACTGCCCCGCCGATTCGAAACTGCTGCTGGTAGAGATGGCTTCGGAGGAGATGGCTCAGTTGGCGGCCTTTGGAGGTTGCTTTGACGGCAGATTGTGCTGAAAAACATCAGCAAAACGTGAAGCATGGACAAAAATCATCAAAGACCAGCAGAAACCATGGAACACCATTGGACATCATTGAATAAGAAACAGCAAACACCAGCAAGTTTGAATAGATTTTTAATATCTTTTGAGAGGTAAAACGCACTGAAAAACATATAATTAGTTACTTAATGTTGCTTACCTATTATTACCGCCCAACAACGCGGCATGATCCAATACAAAATGGGATGTGAAGCAGCAGTCAATGAACTGGGGTTGATCAATGTGCCCCGTGCCTGTTTGTCTACTCAGGATTGGCAGAAGGCCTTGGCACCAGGAAGGGAAAAGGCAAAGGCAAAACGATGCTCAGCTTGCAACCAATTCTCATCCCAGAGGCAAATCTCAAGCCATAAGGCCTTAAGGAAGAGACGCTCATCATCATCTTCGAACTTGATTTGTTTGGAGAGCGGCTGGATGTAATGCAACCGTACTAAGACATACTCAAACCGTCCCACGTCATAACATGTTCGACGCTGCCTCGAAGCAGCTGGATTATCTGGATTGTGAATGTGGCACAATGTGAGGTTATTGCCTTTTTTTGACGCTCAGGATTCAAGCAAGGCACGCGGACTTTTTCCTGTCCAGCAGATTGGAGCGGCGCGATGTGGGTAAGAACGGCAAATGGATGCACCTGGCCTTGTGCCGTGTGCAGTGTGGTCGGGTGTACGACCTCGGCAAGCCGCACCACACACGGAAACTCAATGACAAGCTTTGTGATGGTTTTGACTCTGTCTACGATGATGAGAAATGCTGCTACCGGCTCAGTCAGGCCAACATTCAGCTGGCCTTGCCTCTCTTCACCATGGAGGTCTTCGTAAAGATTAGGACTTCCATGGCGGAGGTGCCTTTGTATTGGAGCCCTGATGTTGCTACACCCTTCGGCTTGGTCCAAGTGACGCAGGCCGAAGGTTCTGCCCTGAAAGAAGCCTTGAGGCCCGGAGGAAGTCTGGGAGGACGGGATCGCCGGGAAGATGGCGATTACAGGGGCTTCAAGCTGAAGGAGGCTTGGCGCTTGGAACATCCTGGCCTCTGGGGCAAGTATGCGGCAGAGAAGCAGAATATGGCCAGCCAGTTGCTGCACATCTCACGTGACTTGCCTTCTCCAAAGCTGCGGGCGGAGATGGTGCGAGCAACTGCGCAGCTGCCCGCAGAACTGGATGAGTCCTTGAATGAAGTGCAACTTGTCATAATCGGACGAAACGGTGGAGAGCCACCTTGTTATCCTTGTTGCATGCTTCTGCTTGGACATCCATATCTCCAGACTTTATCACATTTAGCAGATCTCAAAATGGTTACTGTGATTTGATGCTTTGTATTCTTGTTTCATTGTTTTTGAGTCGCTGTGAGGTACCTATCTCACGGCACAAAACCAGAGAGTTTGCTGAACATCTTGGCCGGTGGTCTCAACGAGCGATTCTCTGGAGGCCTGTTTGGAAATGGCACGTACCTGGCTGAGGACCGGCGGAGTTTCCCCACTAAGATTAGCATCATGCTAGTGAACTGAGTACCCAAGATGTTGGAAGATTCTTGCTAAAAGAAGTGTGTTGTGCGATGTTGTGCACATCGCCCTTTCGCAGGGATATTGTTTGCTGGGTTTGTACTGCGCGTGGCCTCCTCTCAAGTGATGTTTGACCGATTTTGAGAGTAGTGAAGAATAGTGAATGATTATGTACCTAGAACTGCCAAATAAGCCTCTGAAATGGTCGGTTCATTTTGAAAGTACCGGCTATTCGGCTATTACGTACGTTTTATCAAAACAACGGTTCCCCTGTAAAAATCCTTTTTTTTCTCCAATAAACCTTCATTTTGTGTGTGCACTTGCCTTGCCAAGCGTGTTAGGTCATATATTTAATTTCCTTCGGTAAGCCCGCCGGCCATAGAGAGGTGGCCCCAAGGGAGTTTGATGAGCACTCTAGGTGGAAGCCGGAGAGAGAAGCAGAAGAGAAAAGAAGGAGAAGAAGGAGAAGAAGAAGAAGGGAAGACAAAGACAGAGCCGTAAAAGGGAAGCGGCTTGTGTAGCAAGTGCTGGCTGTATCAACCTATTGATCGTATACTCGCGTGCATCCTGTGACTAGTACCTGTAGACGACTTAATGGTGTAGACAGTGTCATCAGCTACCGGCAAACCAGTTTAGTACTTGGCCAAGAAGGGAGGAAGGACTATAGGAGCAGGAGGAGGAGTAATTAGGAGGAATAAGAGTTGTAGGAAAGAGCGGGAGTAGGAGTAGGAGTAGTAGTAGTGGTGGTGGTGGTGGTAGTAGTGGTAGTAGTGGACTTGATTCAGACGAATCAAAAACGCGCAGCAAGAGAACAAAGGAACAAGGACCGGACAAGCCAAGAACAGAAACAAGAACAACGCTTTCCAATCAGACACGCCGGCAGGCCGGCGGATTGATTTGCTTGGTTTGCAGACACAGCCACTGACGATGAAATGAAGTGAAAATCAAAGATCAAGACAAGACTAACAAGTAACCAGCCCATGTCAGCTGATATCAATAAAAGGACAGGGTCAGGGCCCAGGGTTTGCGCAGAAGGCGGCTGCTATTGGCACTTGAAAACCAATGTGGATTCGAACTTTGGATCTTCGAGTGGGAAAATGCAATCGTTTATTGCCATTCAACCTTTTTTTTTTCCCGAAGCTAGGAGATGACTATTTGGACATCTGTTCAAAATGTGTTAATTTCTATGCCCCTGGGATGGTGAAAACATGGGGACAACCAGCATTTTGCGGTACTTATCCCGTATTTACCCCGTACTAAACCCGTATTTTCGAAGTTTGAATAAAACCCCGGCTTTCAAAAACCCGTACTTAACCCGTAAAAGAAACGTAATTAACCCATGGGAACCCGTAAAGAAATATTGGTCTTGGGGGTCTGGCCTGTAGGCTGCCATAATAGGGTTTTTAGGCCCACTGATGGTCTTTGCGCGGACAAATTTTATGAGAAAACTGGTCGCTTGCTCATCGTGAAATAAATTTTGCAAATACACAATTCAAGTTGTTATGTATGCTCCTGGTGTGCAAAAATTGTCATTGTTTGTCGGAACATTTTTGTCGAAGGAAAGTTGTAGGGCATGCATTTGAGAAATGTAGGAATAGTTTCCCAACAAAGTCTCTAGCCCGGCACGGCACAAGACACTGGCAACATGCTGATAACTACATTGTTGATTTTTTGATCATCAAAGGCAAAACTTTTTGGGAAAGTTAAGTGCACCAATGGAAAATTGGGAAATTCATGGAAATTCAAAAAAACCCAGGTTTTTGGATAAATCTCCGTTTTTTTCGGATGCACCTGCCTTTTTAGCGGTTTCGGTTTCCCTTGGTAGTGAATGTGTTTTTAACATGCATGATCAAGAGTCTCATTTTAAAAACTTGCTCTTTCCAATCAATCAAGGCTGATTTACTGTAAGTACTATGACATTGCATGTGAAGCTGCGATAGCACTCTAGTTTTTAGCTCTTCCCCCCAGCTTTTGCAGGATGTGGCGAAAAATGACCAATACTGCACTCGCGATGAGAAATACGGCAATTACAAGGAGGGAGACAGTCGATGACAACTCACCCACAGAGCGTTTCCAAAAAGGTGCCTCGCCATTGGCAAACAGTTTCATGATACTTGGACGTGACCATCTCAGCTCTCACTCATTCAGTCACACACTCACTCACTCACTCACTCACTCACTCTCTCTCTCTCTCTATGCTTGTGAGGACAAAAAACACCAATATAATATAGAGTGAGAAAGGGGGATGGACCAAAACCTGTTGAAGGAACCCGGTTACAAGGCATGAACATCCAGCATCCATGATATCAGCTGAATTTTGGCGTGTTCATTGTAGGGTGCAGATCACAACTAAGCGCCTGATTGCAGGACCTTCACCGTCACCTGTTCGATTTGCCCAAGGCCATTCTTTACCGTTGGACCGTTGTTGTCTTAATGGGATTGTGTGGCCAGATGCATCAAAATATTGTGATCAAGAGTGTGATATTAAAGATTCGTGATAAAGCGATAGCTAGATGCTAGGCTGGAAACTGTTGCAACCAACCATGTCTACTACTGGGCACCGAAAAGCTGCCGCAAGTTTTGGAACATCACCACCTCATGATTTTGTTAATCTCAGCTTTGGAGGGGTTGCTGTTCAAAAGTTGAACACACAATCCATTTGCAAGGCGAAGCATCCAGGAGACATTTTTTACGTGATCTTTTGCCGAGTCGCACTGGGCACCTTGTCGGCACTGCAGCGAAAAGTCGAATTTTGAAATTGCCTCATGAGTATAGAGAGGAGTTCTAAGGGGATTTTGAATGAAATAGAAAAGGCAAATTTGAGAATTTGAGAGTTCTGTGTTTGGGCAGGGTGTGTGCAGTCATTCGTGCAAAGCATTTCAAACATGCAGTGCTTCGCAGAGGTCACTTTGTGCGGACACTGGATGCCTCGATTGACATGGATGATGGTCATTTTGGCTTGAAGCTAAAGCGTCGGGCGGGTTGATTTGTGGAGAAACACTTTGGGGTCGTTAGTGACAGGGATTGTGTGGTGCTTGTCCGACTTTGTTTGGAAGGGTATTGGCACTGATGCCTTCCTGCCTTCAGAAAGCCCGAAACCGCCATGTAGAGTGGAAGCCTGAATTTGAGTGAGTAGTTGGATGTATAATGATGTATATGTTTGAATCATCATTATTCCTTTGGGAATTTCAACTAATAGAATCTGGGCCTTGTGCTCAAAAATCAGCTTGATTTTATAAGCCAACATGTCCTGCACCGGGTTGAAGGACACAACCTGATTTTCCCGGGACATGATGTAGAGGCAGAATTCCCACAGAGACATTGAATCTAGAAATTTGACAGAATAGTTTTGAATGACTTGCGAGACTCGGCGTTGCTTTGGTCATAACTGGCCACCACTTGCAACGAGGCGCTCAGCGAAGTGTTTGGTCGAAAGCGGAGCGTTTGCCTCAGAGAGCCACGAGGAATCTGCAGTAGATGCTCTCTGTAGGCGTACTGGCCAGTGCAACTTTCCTGCGTTGTACTTTCTAAAGCCCCGCAAATTCAACAGCTCCACCGGCTCCACCCTTGATCCCTTGGCAACATGCCAAGGCGGGAGCTGGCAACAATCAAAGGCACGCAAACTCTTCATCATTCTCTGCTTGCGGAGCTGGGAACTCAGTGGAAACCAAGGGGAGACATCATGGGGTCCAACAAGCATCCAATGCAGACATCCAAGGACTGGAGGGCGCATTCATCGCTTCCGCGAATTCATCATTTTCCATGGAGATCGCATCTACCCTGAATATGTGGTGGCGTACAGACGCGAATAGAATTTTAAAGATACTTTACTCCGCAAACCAGAGGACAAAAAGGATATATGATTAAATTATCCTAAAATAATATGCAGGATCATATTAATGTCATACCAACATACGAACGTCAAATGGAACAATATTAATACATGTGATATATATATATAATATATATATATATATCTATTTATAAGTCATTTTCCTAGCATTCAGGTGTTGTCTCATTACATTCAGGTGTTAAGTTCGGTTTGACTCAGCAGCAAAGCAACTGCATGCACTTTTTCCCTTGAATTTTGCAACACAGTCGTGCTCTGGATTTTGCATTCTACTGTTTGAAAGGCTGAGCAAAGTTGCACAATGTAAATGTAATTTTCAATCAAAGTGATGTTTTTTTTGGTTATTATATTGCATTGGTACTGTGTGTTTGCGCTACGATTCGAATACTTGGATGGTGTTGGCTTGTTTGCAATGGGTAGTGCCAGCCTCAAGCCACAAAACTTGCAAACAATGACGCTTATCACACAACACAAACCGATAGAAAGATCAAAATATAAAATTCAAGCTTGGCTGAACGGTTTTTACATGGAAAACCTGTATGGGCAGCGCATGACTTCAAAGCATGTTCATGCACGGCGGCGTCCCGGCGTCCCGGCACCCGTAATGATAAAACGCAAGACAATCTTGCACCACCCTTGGCGCAGCGAGCAGTACGGCGCAGTCGTATCAGTAAATCAAAATCAGACTTAGTAGCACATGATTCGGGCTCCTGGGGGGTCCGTTTGCTTCATGATGTTCTTGCTGCTGTTTTTCCGGTGAAGATCAAAAACCTTTGGATTGGCGGTTCTTCTGCCAGTCAAATTGCGGTTATTTCGTGAACCGATTTTGCTTTGAACAGTGTGTTTGTTTGGAAAGCGGCCAGTGTGTATCCCAAGATATGATTTTGCCAAAATATTGTTTTGCCACAATATCATTTTGCCAAAGTATGATTTTGCCAAAATATCATTTTGCCACAATATTGTTTTGCCACAATATCATTTTGGTATCATTTTGCCAAAGCATTGTTTTTTCCAAAATATGGTGATGCCAACCGTTTATCGCACATTTCCTGGGGCAGATGTCTTCATTGATTGATATATTGAAATTACTAGTATCCCTTTGCATCTCAGGATCATCCTTTGTGGGTTCCACCAAGTCACTTCTCAAGGACGATGGTTCCACCGGAACCATCACCCCCTGTAAGTGGGCTAAGCGTCAGCTTGAGTCAGTGGGTCTCCAAAAATACACCAAAAACTCAAGAAAGAGCTAGAAAAGGACGATGGTTCCAGTGCCCCAGGCTAAGATTGGTATTTGGAAAATGTTCGGGTAGCTAGTAGTAGCTATCATCACAGGGGACGACGGTCCCAATGGGACCATCACCCCTGGAGATTGTGCAAAATGTGGGGTTTGGGGACGACCCAGATTGTTATTTTGCGAACTTTTCGGCCTATCATTTTGCAAACAAATTCTGGCAAACGGATTTTTGGCAAAACTCAGCTTGATCATTGAGCATCACAATATTTTGGGAAATTTATATTTAAGCAAAACAATATTTTGGCAACATGATATTTTGGCAAAATGATATTGTGGCAAAACAAGACTTTGGAAAAAGGATATTTTGGCAAAATCATACTTTGGCAAAATAATATTGTGGCAAAACAATATTTTGGCAAAATCATATCTTGGGATACACACTGGCCGCTTTCCAAACAAACACACTGTTCAAAGCAAACAATTTTGCAAACTGGTTCACGACATAGCCGCAGTTTGAATGGCAGAAGAACCGCCAATCCAAAGGCTTTCGATCTTCACCGGAAAAACCACAGCAAGAACATCATGAAGCAAACGGACCCCCCAGGAGCCCGAATCATGTGCTACTAAGTCTGATTTTGATTTACTGATACGACTGCACCGTACTGCTCGCTGCGCCAAGGGTGGTGCAAGATTGTCTTGCGTTTTATCATTACGGGTGCCGGGACGCCGGGACGCCGCCGTGCATGAACATGCTTTGAAGTCATGCGCTGCCCATAAAGGTTTTCCATGTAAAAACCGTTCAGCCAAGCTTGAATTTGAGATGTTTTGGTCATGAAAACCATGTCAGTTGATCTTTCTATCGGTTTATGTTGCGTGATAAGCGTCATTGTTCGCAAGTGTTGTGGTTTGAGGCTGGCAGTACCACTGCCAAACAAACACAATTATCCCAATTCTCGCACGGACACACAGTACCAACCGGAAAAAAACACATCGGTGGCATCATTTGATTGATCGTTTTCATTTTACATAGTTCTCCTGTGTTTAACTTCAAACAGTAGGAGCGCAAAATCTAAAACATGATTGCGTGCAGTTGCCCTGCTGCAGACATAACACCTGAAAGCAATGAGACAACACCTGAATGCTAGGAAAGTGACTTTTATTTAAATTTATTTATTTATTTAGAACAAACGTAACAGTAAGACAAAGTTATCAGAATACCAAAGTAGTAAGGATAAGACTTGGGATATTCGGATTTGTGTAAAAACCTCCAGAACCTGAAGGGGATCACCTGCTTCCCCATAAGCGGCAGTATTTCAGCGAGCCGCAATAAAACCAAATCAGTTACTATGATATACTATGATTAGGTTCTTGGTGTAGTGCAGTGTTCAGAGCGGAACAAGTTTATGGGGCTTGGATGGGCGTGGAATTGTTTTTTCGTTGTATCTTTAGCGTGAATTGACCTTGAAACAATGTCTTCAAATTATAAACAACATAATCAACATATAATTACAATTACGGACCTTTGAAACCAATTTACCGATACCACCCTTCCGGTACCTAAAACATATATTTTCTATATATTTTATTTGCTGTCTTATTTAAATGGCTTACGCCTGACAGCCGGGCGCCGGCCAAGCAACGACTTTTGGCTTATGGTGTGGGAAGATTGGGCCGAGATTCTCCACGCAAACCCAGACAGGGCTATGTTGAACTGAGGCAGCCATAATGCGCAGTGCTTGCCTCTATCGAAGCAGTCTGGGCCTATGTTGAGAGCAGGTTGTGCCCGTGTTGGGCCAAGTCGGGCCCATGTTGAGCCATCTTGGGCCCATCTTGGGCTTATGTTGGGCCAAGTCGGGCTATATTGGCCCAGGTTGGACCTATGTTGGGCTATGTTGGGATATGTTGGGCTCATCTTGGGCCCATGTTGGGCCTATGTTGGGCCCATGTTGGCCTATGTTGGCCCTATGTGGCCCCATGTTGAGCCATCTTGGGAGCTATGTTGGGGCCATGTTTGGGCCATGTTTGGGCCATGTTTGGGCCATCTATGTTGAAACGATCTTAAGATGCCAATTTTTCCTTCCCGGGCAAAAACACCGTAAATATCCGTAAACTACAGGGCCTTCAGTCGGGGGAGAGTCGACACGGGGTGAACCGGGATGGGTCGGCGGCAGGGAAGCGAGCGTCTATAACCTTCGATTACCATCGAAGGCATCCGGCAAGGACACGGGCTGCGTGGCCGGTACCCGGACTCCTGCTGCTCCGGTTGTCATTGCGGCTGCGGTCGTTTCTGTCGCGAAAATGTTCCTCCTCTGTGTTCTGCACCGAATGGTTGTTCCTATGTGTAAATTTCGATGCGTTTTTTGACTCTGTGGTTGCAGATCGCAATGGAATGGCCGCATGATTGTTGTCATCTAGTCTTGCCGTTGCGCGTAGTTCTATTGTATTTTGTAAGTCAGTCTCTGCAGATCGCATGCTAGTGGCTGCGTCAAGGTTGCTTGGTGCCGTGGCTGGGTGCGTAATTCTTTTTTCTTTGCAACTGGATCTCGTAAATAGTATTAGCAATTTTCTTTTTATCCGTTCTTTTAAAAAGTGCTGCAAAATCGTTTTTTGTCACTGTGGCGTCGAGATCCGGTTTTGGAGCTGCAATTGCCGACGCTGTTATGTATAGTTCTATTGTGTTTTGCAACTCAATCTCTGCAAATCGCATTGTAGTTTTTGTGTCAAGGCTGCTTGGGGCCGCGACTGGGTGCGTAATACGATTGTCTTTTGCAGCTGGCGTAACCAATATTGGAGTGATTGTATCAAGGCTGCAATAGTGATTTGTCAGCAGATTTTCTCAAGTTTGGTGCTAGCAATTTTCTTTTTAAAAGTTTTTTTAAAAAGCGCTGAAAAAACGTCTTTTTGTCGCTGTGACGTCGAGATCCGGTTGTAGAGCTGTAATTACCGACGCCGTTGTACATAATTTTATTATATTTTATTATGTTTTATTGTGTTTTGTAACTCAATGTCTGCAGATCGCATGATAGTGGTTGCATCAAGGTTGCTTGGTGTCGCGACTGGGAGCGTAGTATTATTTTTTTTACAGCTGGATCTCGTAAATAATATTGGAGTGGCTGCATCAAAGTTACGACAATGATTTTTCATTAAATTTTCTTACTTTTGGCACTAGTATTTTTTAAAAAAAATCTTTAAAAAACGCTGAAAAAAACATTTTTTTGTCGTTATGATGTCGAGATCCGATTGTAGAGCTGTAATTACCGATGCCGTTGCGTGTAGTTCTATTATGTTTTATATTGTTTTATTGTGTTTTGTAGCAATTTTGCAGATCGTATGGTAGTGGTTGTGTCAAGGTAGTATTATTTTTTTGTAGCTGGATTTTGTAAATAATATTGGCATGGCTACATTAAAATTACAACAATGATTTTTCAGCAGATTTTCTCTTTTTTGGCGCTAGTATTTAAAAAATAAAAATAAAAACCACTGAAAAAATGTCTTTTTGTTGCTGGGACATCGAGATCCGGTTGTAGAGCTGTAATTACCGA